AAAAGAAACAAATGGGCAGAAACCTCGAGCAGGACCAGACTCATTGGTGGACAGCCAACTGCAAAGAAAGCGGGATAGAGTGGCAGACAGAAAAAGTGAGATGGATAGAGAATAGCAGACAGACAGGCTATTCAGACCGTAATGATATATATATACATGATCAATAAAATCACAGATGCTAGCCTTCAGCATTTGATTTCCCAAACTATTTTCAACTACAGACAGACACATTTAAACTTGCGCCTAAAAGATTGTTTTTGACAAACCCTACCTTTAATATGTGGTATTGATTGTCGGAGAAATGTTCTTATCCGACTGTTTTGCCTACTGTCAGCCTTTGTGCTAAGCTAAGCAAACCGCCTTCTCTCTGTGGCTTCATACATTACAAACAGATGCAGTATAAGAGTGGTATGGATCTTCTGATTTTACACTTGGCAAGAAAGCAAATAATTGTATTACCAAAAATGTTTACACTATTTACTATTTACAATGTAGAAGAACTATACACAACAGTCAAGGACAAAATCTTTGAATTCCAATAAATGAAACATTTGCAGTAATTCTGGTTGGAACCTTTTAGAGTTAGGACAAGTATAGGGAATAAAGATACACGAGTCATTTGTATGAACTTGTACCAATTTTAAAAGCGTTTGGTCTGGCAGTGAGTCACTTCATTCTCTGTAATCCACAGCTGCCCTTGAGCACACAGAAGCCCTAAAAAGGACATTACTTGACTCAGAACCTAAAGCAGAAGCTACTCTATTATTAAAAAAACGTGATAAGGTGAAGTTTGAAATGTTAAGAGGTACGCCGTGTACTCGTGTGTGTGTGAGTGTGAGTGTGCGTGCGTGTGTGTATTTCTCAGTGATCCTTCTCGCTGACTCACGGTGTGCCACTCAGTAGTCGGAGCACGTTGCAGCCTTTAATAGAGCCACATGATGATGCAATCTCTCTTTCCTGCTGCACTAAAGATACTGTCCATCCTTTTCTCATGCCTTTCTCTGACTTGCTCTATCCATCTGAAGGAGGATTCAGCTGAATTACTGTTTCATCTCCTTAGTCAGGCCTAACTGCGGGGTTATATGTGTATATTATGGCTCTCTGGCCTGAAGCCAGTCGCCAGAGAGCTTTTACAGGTTTGTGGTCCATCTGTTGCTAACAGGGCCAACACCTACTCCCTCCCTGCACACTGTACTTACAGCAAGGAGAAGATTTCTTTTCACCACTACCTCATCTATTTCTCACTCTTAAGAACTGTGCTTACACTGTTGAGGATTACTCGGCCCTGCTGTCTCTTTTCCAGAGAGAAAGGAGTCTGCTGAAAAGCTTCCCACTCTTTTCAGGCTTCTATTTCTGACGCTGCCACATATGTCTCCTCTCATTCTTTCCTCTCCCCTCTGTCCATTTCCCTTCACATACATCATAACACTATATTTAACCCCCAGATAAAACCCAGAATGGGGCAACGATAAAAGACGGAAAGCTTTTTTCAGACCACCCTTATCTCTCTCCCTGTGCACTGCCCTTATCTGTGCCAGGGATTTAATGTGATGTATTTACAGCATTAGTCGCTATAGCCCCTCTCCCTTGCTCCCTATACACTCCCTCGGCCGTCCATTTGCTCGGACCAACCCTCTTAGTTCACTCCCTGATTGGATTTTATAAGAACAATGGAGCGGGGGCCTTTTATCTAGTTGTAAGCTCCTTGTGCATCTTGCTGTAACATTAGCTTTTGCTGGAGGCGAACATGTTGCTAAAGAATGCTTGTGGTTTTTCAGAGCTGTGCAGGGAAAGGAGGGAGGGGTTGGGTGAGGCGTTTGGGACCAGCATGCACAGTGCCGGTAGCTGACAGTAGGCACTCTGGTCGCAGTAATTGAATAATAAGATTCCTTAGATGCAGATAAAAGGTTTAGAGGTAATTACCGCAGTCTAAATTCCCCCTCCCTCTATCCTCGTGAGTGCGTTCCTTTTTTGTGTTTGTGTATTCCTCTGGGATGTTAAATGCACTTTGATTTTTATTGTCTCACTATAGTCTGGAGGCAGATTGTGGTATTTACGGTAAAAGTATGGTCAAAACAATATCTTTTGTTGGAAACTCTAATGTAGCGAAGCAAATGGGACAAATGAGTTTCGGTACAAGAAAGGTGTCCTGCAAAGTGAAAAAAATCTGCATGGAGGTGGCTGCAGAGCATGAGAGAAGTCTCTGATGTGCACAGTTGCACTTGTGCATACAAAGAGACAGACAGACAGTGATGGGTGGAGGGTTGAGTGGCGAGTTTTTGTCCTTGACTTCTTAAGCTCAAGGATGCAGCGCACTACATCAATATACGTCTGTCAATGCCCTTAAAACTGCCATTACTTTCTTTGCCTGACTTTGGTTTTTAAGTATGGTGTAATGAGCCCATGAGAAAACATCATGTGCATATCCCGAGAAGCAATTAAAGTGTACACTGCAATCCTAAAGCCCAATATTTATTTAATAAACACCCCACACCTAGCTAGATTCAATATGTTTTCAAAATGTGGTAAGAGTAAAGTCCCACATATTTGCTCATCTAAGCATTTAGAACATAACATCTTAGCTACTGCCAAATATGATTGTGCGTTTGTGTAAATGGTCTTATAATTAAGCGCAACATTATTGACATGTAGGGTGTAAGAGCTTTTCTGCGTGAGCGTGTTTGGTTAGTTAAGGTCTATTGCAGACACTCAAGATTATTGACAAGAAGGGAGAGGTGAGGATTCATCTTAAGGCTGTCAAACACATTTGAAGAAAAGTTTTTTTCTAAAGTGTTAATCCTTCAGAGTAATCAGAGGAAAGATGGTGTTTGATGCTTTATCTTACTGGCATTTTGGATGCAGTTGCCATTCAATACAATGACATAGCAAACACATCATTTGGTTACTTTTGTTGTTGCATGTACTGCAGTTCCATTGTTATCATGTGAGGAAATATGCAACCAGTGGAAAAAAGAGCTAACAACAAAAGCTTCAATCTCCTCCATCGTCTTTGAAATATACCTCTAGACAGCCTTTCTGAAAAATAGCCCAAACTAGCTTTAACATTATACAAAATTAGAATAAAAAGTTATGCAAAGTTTTGATTGATGGATTGATGTCTTTATTTTGTAAAGTTTGTAAAAAGAAAAGAAAAGAAAAAAGATAAACAATAGCTGGAGTTAAAATGGAGTTAACATGTAGAAAACAAATACACAACAGAAGAAGAAATAGTCCAAGTCCTTCATTCTCTCTTACATTTTACATGTTCGAAAAGAAGTAGGAAGAAGTTAAAACTGAATTAATCCTTCCCCTTTTTACTCAACTTAATTGTTATTAATTATACTTAAATGCAATAGTATATAATATAATAGGGCCCGACCGATATGGATTTTCTGATACCGATATATATCGGCTGATATCTTTCTTATATCTATGATCAATGCGTAGAGATAGACATAAACATACAAATGTATTTTGTTGTTCCCTCAAATGCAGTTATCAAACACTTATAAACAGTATAACAAAGACAAGACGGTCACTCAGACAGCTGGAAGGTAACTGAGCATGTATGTGCATCAATGCTTCACATTCTGGAGAGTGATGATGCTTGTTGTAATCCATATAGCACACTCTGCTGGTGACAGAGAACAGCTAGTGTAATCCAATGATACTTAAATGAAATGCTATTTGACTGGTGAGTAAATCTCGTAATATCGGTACATGTCTGTGCTAAAATTAGCCGAATACGATAGTCACTGGATATGCTAATATCGCCCAATATTATTGGCTGGCCGATTTATCAGTCGGGCTCTTTAACATAATATAAAATAATATAATTACTTACCAATATCTAATTACATACATATATAACACATATTCCCATCAGCAGAATATATCTAATTACAATATGCTGTCACCTAATTACATAAATAACAAAACCCCAAAACTTATGTGCTATACTAAACAATTACAGACAAACCTGGGTGGTTCTGATTACCCTTTAAATGACAGTAAGGGGGGGGGGTTAACATTGGGTTTAAATAGTTAAAATACTCCTAATGCTGAAATTGCCTGCCTTGTGACTTTTGTAGTACTTAAATGTAGATTATTATGTTGTTGCTGTATATCAGCCTGCCCTGACCAATCAAATTAATTCTCCTCATAAATAATAGAAAATTTCCTTATACACAAGATTGATCTAATGTTGTGTTGTGTTGATCATAATTAGGAGGTAATGGGAAGTCTAAGCATGCTGGTATAACTGAAAAACAACAACAACAAAGCCCTTGATTCTTGTTGTTCTGCCCCCCTTCTGGCGATACTGCACATTTTGTTTGGAATGGATTGAATATTATGTTGGAACTTCATGAATGCCACTTCTGCATCTTGCTAAATAATTCCTCGTTAGAGAAATGTGTTTGTTTATGATGTATATGCTCTGCAGTTGTGCCACATACAGATATTGTTGTGTTTATTTATAGGGATGTACGGTGTATGTGTGCACAGGTTGAGCATGAATAATGGCGTGCACTTCAGGTCCAAGGAGGAAGGAGAGTGTGAGAGAACGAGGAGGGTGGGAGGATGTATGGGTAGAAGAAGATGGAAGTAGGGATGCTAGAGGCGTCACTGAAACGCCTCAGGGTTTGAATTCTGCGCCAAAGATTGATAAGGACACGGAGGAAGATGGCAAGGTGAAAGGAGAGTAGGAAGCAGAAAAGAGAGCAAGAGAAGACAAACGACATAGAGAAATACAGACGGCGTGTATAGAGAGACTGATTTGGCAGAAACTGTTGTCAACGGCTCCAGAACAGAAAGAGAATTATACAGTGCATTCAATAACCATCTCTGGACGCAGACAGAGAAAAGGGAAGTGAAGGAGGGAGAGATAGAGGCAGGAGGAGGAGGGAGAGAGAGAGAGAGAAAGATTAGTATCACATGAGAGGGAGGGGAGTAATAGCAAGGTGAAGGGAGGGAGCAGGAGGACAAACAACCCTGAAAGCACTGATAGGGGCGCCACAGGCAAGGAGGGAGTTATCGAGAGAGGGAGTGGAAGGAAGGAGAGCAGCAAAACAGCCTGAATCAGGGAGGAGAAAGAGGAAGGACACAGGAAAGAGATCTGAGAGAAGGAGGAAAACATCAAGAAAAAAGAAGACACTGGGCTGTGAATGTGAAAATAACAAGAGAAGAAGAAAAGCTGAGAGACAAAAAGGAGAGATAGATGTGATGAGGTGTTTTTCCGTCCTAAAAGGAGGATGAGCTGTACGTTTGGGTCTCTGCACGTGTGTACTGCGGTGTGAATCACAGATAGAGACTGAACACCTGTTATTCCGAGATGATGGAGTGTAACAGTTTTCAGCGTGTCGGTGTGTGCGTTTGCTGTCTCTGCAGCATTTTATCTACCTGCACGCTATTTGACCTTCCTTAGTCAGCAGGCAGAGTGTGACTGCAGAGAGAGAAAAAAGAGCAAGAAAGGAGAGGTGGAGCGAGGGAGTGTCTACAGAAAGAGAGAGAGAGAGAGAGAGAGAGAGAGAGTGAGTGCTAAAGTGGAGTAGTAGCAGAGGGAGTTGTTGCATTGTGATTAGTGTGCTTGTGCAGTCTGCACTGTCCTCCGGATGTAAGACCTGCTCTTTACTGCGTGGGGATCTCTGGGAAGGACAGACTATTGGATTTCGTCTAGAAAAATTTAACCCTCAAGTGGCAGCAAGTTCTGAAGCGAGGGTCCCACAAAGAACTGGGACACTTTGGCTGGACTTAAGTTGTCCCCAAGTCAAGGCCTGGACTTTCTATTTCTGTATGAAATGTCTTTTTTGAATTTTTAATCACACCTTCAACTGCAGCACTTTGAATCCTCTGGAACAATGGATACGTCGGGCAACCCTCAAGGGTGCCCTGCTCGCGCTCCCAGTGCGGGAGAACCGAGAATAGGGGAGGCTAGGATGGGCGAGGGGCTTAGAATGGGGGAGAGAGACACCCCACTGAGGCTGTCACCTTTTCGTATGCTTCGGGTGCTGGACTCATGCCGTCCTCCAGGAAACCGTATCGGTGAGTGCATCACTGTCATCTCCATTATCAAGTTCCCCTGTATCCTGATCCTTCGTTGTGAAAGAGTCTAAATACATTTGAAGACTGTACTGATGACAGATCCAACAGTTTCATGAAAATGTAAACTAAACAAAAAAATGTGGTTCAGTTGATGAGTATGTTTTGACCACAAATATGTATTCTTATAGATACAACCTAACACCTCAATGTGTACAATTTCATTCTGTTGGACATTAACTGAAGATCAGACTCGTGCCTTGAGGTGTTATTAGATACAAAGACAAGGATTTATGTAAAATCGTGTTTTTCTCTCTGGAGTTGCTGATCTTGCCACTTTGAACATCATTAATTTCGAAACATAATTTCCGAAATGTTGCTGGTTTAAAAAATGAGAGAAGCAGTTGGTTGGCCAGGGGGCACCGAGTTTGTGTATCTTTCTGGATCCCATGCCCTATTTCAAGTTCTTCTTTTGAATATTTCATTCATTTTCTTGTCAGCACGTTGCCTGCAGGAGCCGTATTCCTGCTGCTTGTGCCAAATTCAGACGGGATGCTATAGCTGGCTCGTAAAATGTCTTAGAGATCCCAGACTTGGAGCAAAATAAATAAAATGATTTAATTTAAAGCCTAGTTATATTAGTGCTTAATAGGTTAGATGTGGACAGCCAATACTCATTCCAGTGAACCCTACTGAACTCTCTCTGGCCTTGCCAAGCAAGGGCTTATACAAATATATTTCCATTACTCTTTGAATGGCTCCTAATGGAAATCTTACTTTACTTCTTTACATCCTTTCAACTGACTTTTCAGTCATTTTCTGAGGCACTGAAACGTGTGCCAGAGATGGATTTCTAGCTAAGTGGAGTACATGCAGAGTTATAGGTGAGGTAAGGATAGTCCTAAAAGCAGTCCACTCACTCTTGTAAACACGCTAGCATGGTTCAGCAAACTGTAACTAGGCCAGCCTGGCTCTATACAGAGGCAGAGAGGTAGCTCATGACATTGACTGTCTGCTCTATGGAAACAGAGCAGAAAGAACCTGCAGGAGACCAGATTGGAAAGTCCTGTGTGTTTAGTAAGTATGTGTGATTTTTGTTTTACAGAGAGATATTCTGCAGAACATCATTGTTTCATATTATCAGGGCCAAGGTAATGGAAATTTTCCCTCCAAGGTCAGTCATCTTGTCTGATCCTACCCTCATGACTTGGTTATTTACACAAACAGACAAGATCAGGACCTCTCTGAAAAGTGAGAAAGACCTGTGACATAATCCCACTGGATACTTGCCTGTTGTGATCATGTGATCATGTGAGTGTGTCTGCCAGTATGTTGATATCCTGTATCAATTTCCATCAATGTTGGTGTTGGTTACCTTAAGTTTAATGTTTCAGCATCAGGGTTGTGAGGGTTGATTCCTGATATGACTACTGACTACTCGGTTTTCTTAACCAGCTATTTCACATGCACAGCCTGTATTCTTGTGTCTGGCTTTGAGGCCACAGGCATTACCTCAGACTTAGAGATCTAAATGACCACCAGGAGGTTTACTAAGCTTTTACACAGATGTATTGTGTCATAATCAACATATGCTGCTTTAGTCAACAGATAGTAAGACTAAAGGACAGATGTAGGCTGAAATAAGCAGCTGGGGTCTTCACTCGTAGTTGTGTTTTTGTTTCAGTATGAAAACTACTGCTGCAGTTTATATATGAAGTTAGCTTTTAAGTTTAAAGAATTGAATATAAGATTCAGTTTAGAAATAGTTTCATTTTTTTGTTTCAAATTTTGATGAGATTTTTGTTAACTTTTTATATAATCCCAGCCATAGGGTAACATACTAAACAATAAAAATAAACAATTTTATAAAGTAACTTCATGGAAAATGGCTAAATTGTGTTAAAAAAATCAAATTTTTACATCTATAATAATGTTAGATGGACCAGCTTGTTTTTCCCAAATACTAACCTTGACTACATGAAAGAGACACACAAATGACCTAGAATCAGCCCCAGGTGGGTTTGTGTAATATGTGCCCCCCCTCCCCCATCCACCCCAAACACACACACACACACACACACACACACACACACACACACACACACACACACACACACACACACACACATAACTGATAGTGCATACATATAATAAATACCTCTACCTATCTGGCTCTTACTAGTTCTTTTTCATGGTTGATGTGACACAAACACTCAAGGGACCATTTTCTTTACGCTTCTTCTTCCACTGATCCCCTTGTTTTCCCTCCTTCTGTCACTCTGCTAGATGTTTCAAATGTAAACAGTCAGGATGGTAAAGTACAACGTTTCTATCTCTAGAAGTGAGCTTTACAGTTCCACTCACACAAGACAAACACACACACACACACACACACACACACACACACACACACACACACACACACACACACACACTTCTACTGTATATGCTGTATACTGTATGACCCAAACTTGAGCTTTCAGGCACCATACACTGAAACCCAAAAAGAGACCCCTCCCCCACTTTTACTCACAGACCATTGAAGGAGGCTGTCCTGTCTACTGCACCGTGACTCATTAATCAGATGGATTCAGGAGGGGAATGGAGGTGTGGGGGGTGGCAGGCAAAGACGGGAAAGCTCTCGTTCCATGCATGGTGATATCGATCTCTGACCTCCTCTTCTTACCAATGGTATTTTATAAACACTCACCCATCATTCCTGCATGGCTGGTGGTACTATCCATCCTCTGGGAATTGGGACCCCACTATGGCTTTTAAGGAGGGGGGGGGGGGAGATTCAATTTAAATACAAAATGCTGTGTCATGTGATAGGTACATTGGAGAGATTGATCAAGGAAGAACCAAAAAAGATGCATTAAGCCTTTAAAGAACACAAAATGAACATTAAAAGTAAAATGTTAATGCAATTCTGTACCTGAAAATAACACTCTGTGTCTCTGTGTCTTGCAGGTATTGTCCATGAGAATGTGAAGATGGGTTCAGATGGGGAGAGCGACCAGGCATCAGGGACATCTTCTGATGAGGTCCAGAGTCCAGTCAGGGTCCGCATGCGGAACAACCACCATCGGCGCATCTCTAATGAGGTATGAGAAGCCAAAGACACGTACAAAATTTAATTTGGACTTTCTTCAATTTTCAGGTAACAGCACATCAAAAAGGAAACTATATGCAGACTCCATAAAGTTTTAGATGTCAGTACCAGGGTGAAATATTGTAGCGGTACCTGCTTTTATTCGCTTTAAGCATATCCATAATATTAATATATATCCCCTGATATGTAAATAGAAACTGCAGAGAAGCAAAATGGGGATACAGGCCACTACACGATATAGTTTTCACTGTAAAGAGCTCTGACAAGTTTGAATAAGAATGTTCTGTTTAGTATGTATCATGGTCACATTTTAAAAAATGTACCTGCAAAACATTGTAACTAATATTGGCATTACAAATCCATTATCAATCGAGATAATCAAGATGTATCAGAAGATAAGGTAGTTACTCGTTCACTCAGGAGATTCCTTTAAACATGGTGTTGTATGAATTCACATTTTTCTCATTTTTTAGATGGGTTTGATTTGAGTCTAATAATTAATGTATACTGTGGTGGACTTACTGTATGTGTAATATACAATAAGGTACAATAAGGTTTAATATGATAAAAAAAATACAATACTGTGTAATATGCAACGGTATGGAACAGAACTGTACATTACTATACGATCCAATACGATACAGTATGATATCATTCGGTATAATACAATACATTACTGTAAAGTATACCACTTCTAACACAGACCTTTAGATTTATGACCTGCTTTAACATACAATAAGTTCCATGTGAGTGCACCTCTGCCATCTGCAGTAAGGCAAAGCAGCCATTAACTGCCTTGTTTTTGCCACATCCTTGAGGTTGTGCCTAATGTCTGGGTCAGAGAGTGTGTGTGTGTGTGTGTGTGTGTGTGTGTGTGTGTGTGTGTGTGTGTGTGTGTGTGTGTGTGTGTGTGTGTGTGTGTGTGTGTGTGTGTGTGTGTGTGTGTGTGTGTGTGTGTGTGTGTGTGCGTTTTAGGAGTTGCAGAGTGATGAGTGCAGCAGTATTATGGGAAATGCCTCTGGACACACAGGCTGCTGCCTCCGACTGCTGTGAACGGTGGAAGGGACTAATTTGGACCACTTTTACCACAGAGAAAGATAGAGAAGGAAAGGGGGGGGGCAGAGAAGGAAAGGAAAAGCTGGGCCAAGAGAGTAATTATGGAAGTAGCAATAATTACTGATATGACAAAGAAAGAGTAGATCCTCAAGAACGAGCTCAGGAGACGATAAGAAGAGAGGTTGAAGGAGAGATTGAGGACAAAATTACGGGGGGAAAGAAAAGAAAAAAAACATTTCCTCATACAGTCAACACTCTCCGTTCACCCCTTCCCCCCATCTGCCTTTTTCCCCCTCAGGAATCTGTCCATTCCTCTCTCCTCTGCTCCTGCTCCCCCCCTCCTCCTCCTCCTCCTCCTCCTGCTCTTCCTCTTTTTTCCTCCTCCTCCTATGAGCGTGTGGATGCCACTCTACCACTGTGCCAGCCTCTCTCTCTTTCTCTCTCTCTCTCTCTCTCTCTCTGTCTGTCAGTGTGAGTGCAGTAATGTGGCAGGTCAGAGGCATGCGTCGTGGAAAACGCATGTGTGTGAGTGTATAGAAAGACACGTTTAAGGAGGACAATGAGGGAGCTACTAGAGCTGTTCTGCATTGTGAGTATGGGGGCACGTGTGTTTGTGTGTGTTTAATGTGCATGGGTCTTCAATCTTTACCAGTGAGTAAGAGGGCATTAGGGTCTTTTCAGCCATGTTTCCCCTATTATAAAGGAGCATTCTTAGCAGCTTTACAAATTGCATGAAACCTGAAATGTTATTGTAATAAGTTTAACAACATTTGTTTTGTTTTTTTTCTGAGAGAAATATGCAACCCTAGCTTGTTGTTGTTATAGTAAACGGTGTTGAATTGTTTGCGCTCTGTGTATTCTTTTTTTATGCTTCATACATTCACTGACGCTAACACGTGTAAATAACTGAAAGTCAGTAGGTCACGTTAGTGCATGTTCTACCGATTATTTTTCAGAAAATGTGCTCATGCAGCCTGCAGAGCATTTCACGATGCTTTCAGTGTGTGTGTGTGCAATGTGTGTTTGTAGGGGTTGATTTCAAAAAGTGTGTCACCATCCTTGGGGTTATGGCTTGTTTATAAGACTGCATGTTATTATGCTAGCCAGTGAGCTCGGTTAAAACCATTAAAGGCGTAAAATCCCTCTCCCTTTCATCTTCAGGCACACACATGCACTTTCTACCCTCCCACTGACGCTCACATGTAAACACACATATCAGTGCACACGCTGACAGCGAGGACACGTACCACGGGGCTGTTGGGATGGGGCCAGCCAGTCAGCGCTGCCATGGAAACACCGTGTGATTGGCACCTTGCCAGAAAACATGTCCTACATGGATAGCATAAAGGAGTGATGCATTGTGGGAAAAGTAGCATCACCTAATTGTTTTGAGGCAAATGCCAAAAGAGGGGGGTTAGCCTATAGCCAATGAGGAGCAGGTTACACACAGGTATTCAATACCAATGCATTTAATGATAAAACATAATGAAAGACAAAATAAAAAATGTTTCGATTGTAAAAAATATAAAAATAGGTAACCCTCTGATTCTCTTGTTTTCTGTATATAAGCATCTCTGGAACCAGTTCAGTCATGTAGTGGCTTTGAACTGGCCTTTCATTCAGCCCTCTACATCCCAGTTGAAGTTTTTTTTAAATGAGCGCTGCTAGATCAATGACGTTGACAGGCCCATGTATCAGCTAATAGAAGCTAATCTCCATTACTGTTACAGATTCTATGTATGATTGCACAATCTGCAGGCAAGGGTCCATATATTTTGGTACCATTCAGAAGTCTTATAGTGTCCCTTATGTAGTGTGAATAGAAGTATCCACTAGCATCGGGGTAGGCTTTGATTGTAGGTAAGAAAAATAATCTGTATATGGTGATCAGAAGAGGTTGAACATATCTGCCCTAATGCATTTCCAGAGCGCTTTGGTTATCATCTGATGACAATTAGGCTTTTCATTCATCTCTGTAGACAGATATCTGTTATATATGACTTTAAGCAGCTAATAATCACATTGTACAAGTGATATCTCTCTGCTCCTACTTCTTTCTTGTTTCTGAGATTCCTGGCCTGACTGTAAACAATGAACAGTGAATGGAAAAGGACGTCTTGACCCAAATTAACATACACCTCTGTGGTCATTTATGAAGTGTCAACAATTCATTGTTTGTTCACCGAAGAGCACTGATGAAAACAAATGTCAATGTTGAATGTACAGTATATTGCAACATGTATCATGGTCATAATTGAATGGTAGAAAAGGGCTGGTTATACTCACATCACGTACTGTAGTCTCAGGGCAATTAAAAAACAACAGCAAGGAAAAGAGGAAGGTTTGCCCACACACCTGCTCAATGCCACGTTTTTTCTTCTTCAGGTGATCATGTTAAAAAAATGATCGCCTGAAGACGACCTCAGGGCAAAACACTGCGATCCAATAACCATTTTTTTTGTGGCATTGAACATGTATCTAGGCATCTTGGATATATAAATATAAAACCTGGTGGTGTAGGTGTCAAATGTGCATAGAAATTCCTCTTTAAATCAAAACAATATTTTCAAAGGATAACAGGTTCTAGTTGAAGCCAAAAAAATAACAATTAAGTTGTGATTGATATTTTTTTACATGATGAATGTGTAATTTATCATTTTAACCTCTCCTCTTCTCCTCAAATCCTTTTCGTTCTCTTAAGGACATCAACAAGCGTTTGTCTCTCCCGGCTGATATCAGGCTACCGGAGGGCTACTTGGAGAAGTTTGCCATGAACAGCCCGCCTTTCGACAAGCCCATGAGCCGCAGGCTACGACGCGCTTCATTGGTCAGTGCTCATTGTGTCTGTGTGCTTATTTGCATCTCTGTGTGTGTGTGTGTGTGTGTGTGTGTGTGTGTGTGTGTGTGTGTGTGTGTGTGTGTGTGTGTGTGTGTGTGTGTGTGTGTGTGTGTGTGTGTGTGTGTGTGTGTGTGTGTGCATCAAAAGCAGCTAAAACTAGTTTACTTAGTTTAGTCAGCTGATTGGTTATGTGTTGGTTTGTGCACCTCTGCGAGTACAGCTTGGTGTGTGTTGCTTCTTTGTTGTAGCATGGATTTGAAACAACAGTTTTGTGAACCTTCAATTCTATTGTGCTATAGTGCCATTTTACCTACACACACACACACACACACACACACACACACACACACACACACACACACACACACACACACACACACACACACACACACACACACACACACGCACTGCCATGACATCAACATACGCTCATTTTAAATACACAATAAGAGATGCTTTAGAGCTTACAATAGCCCAGTAGGGGGATGGATGATAAATTCACTCTGTATTATGTATCCAGGCCAAGAGCATTATGGGTATGAAACTGGGGCTGGGAGAGAGAGGAGGGGTTCACCGTTGGCTGTATGGAGAGATATGTATACATGAATATGCAGCATGTCGTTTGACTAGCTTTTGTGTTGCAGCGAAGTACTGCTGTTGTTTTTTACTTGTTTCACTTTATTTCACATCACTCCTGTCTTTTCGTTTCCCTGCATACACGAATAAATAAAGTAAGAGAGTACTTGAACTTGAAGAGAGTTTGGATGTGATTCTGAAAAACCTCTCTTAACTATGGGAAAGCATAAAGGATTGGCTCTCCAACAGACAATTTTGTTGTTATTATTGAGAATGGCCGGAGCCCAGCCTTTGGCTCTCTGCTTGAAGTGATTTAATGACGCAGCCTTCCTGCAGGAGTCAAACAGAGATGAAAAGAAAGAGCTGTAGAAGAGGGTTTTGCAGGAGGAATAGAGGTTTATGGTGTAAGAGTGCATTAGGAGAAGGGGGTAGACTTTTGAGACATTTGTGTATTTACAATGTCAATGAGTGGTAGATGTTTTCTGACTTGCTTGTATTTGGCTCTCTGGTTATCTTTAGGGTTGTTGGGTTGCATGCATCTGATGTAATAGACCGATCAATAATTCAGCAGCAGTGTCACAGTCATCTGCTGCAGCTCCCCTCTTGACAGGGATTACACACCAGGACACCTTGAAGTGAGTTGAGAGGAGGAGAGGGGAAGATGCAGAGGGGGGATGACAAGAGATTCTTTAGTTTTTTAATTCTAAGAACTTTATTTGTCCCTGGGGGGCAATTCAAAGACACATAGAGCATTATAATTAGACCAAAAAGGAGCATTAAAGACAGTTCAAGGTAGATTTCAAATATAAAATAAAAAACACAACATGAAGAAAGTAGACTAAAGATATAAGTAGACAGTAATTGGACTAACAGTGGGAGACAGATGTAATCAGAGCTTTATGTAAGCAGATGAATGTGTGCAAATTGATAATAGTACAATAAATAAATGAAGAAGTGGTGGAGATGTAGAAAGTATAAAGAAATACACGTCCAGAGGAATGGATAGTAATAAAGTCTGAGATCATTTAAAAAGCCTGTCTGAGCGGAAACTCTGTTTGGAGGCAGGAAAAGAAAGGTTTTTATTGTTCTCTGTCGCTGCCTGTGTAGGAAGTGAAGGCACATCCAGATTGTGTTTTTATTAATATTGTAGTCTCGGGAATCTGGAACTTCTCAGTTCATTTCTTTCTAAGGCACAGACCAATTCCTCTGGATGCCTCAACCAAATCAGAACAATGAAACATGTTCGTAAGCCTGCCAAGTTAGTGAGCTAACTTTTACTCCAATTTATGAGGCCCCATTAAATAAATACATTGGCTTTTGATGTTTCACAATTAAGAAGCCAATTCTTATCATGTGTACATAACCTGTACTATGGCCAAGTTTGTTTAATATAAACACGGTAGCAGTTCAGAATGTTCCATCTTTGTTTATGAAAGTTCCTCAATGTCTCTTTAACCTGCCCCTTATTGGATACACTGTTGTGATTAACTTATCCTAAACTGGTCGGCTGGATGTTTGCCCAACGGGAGTGGGACAAGACACAAGTGCCAGAGCAAATCAAACATGAGCTCACAGATTCGTCTGGTTCCCAGGCTAAGCAGCATGATGCAATCCTTGCAGACATTTGTTCTGAATGTGCCGTGCTTATTGGGCAGCTTATTCAGCTTATTTTGAGTTGATTTCGATGCCCTGCTTCTGTAAACACATTCCTGATAGTTTTAATTCTCAGGTTAGCTTGAGCTGCTGTAGTTGTTTACTTGGTCCAAGTCTAAGACAAGTTGGAAAAAAGCTAGCGTTGCAAATGAATAATAAATGAATGTCTCCTGAGTGTCTGCATTAAGTGTGCTTCATCACTCTCACTGAATGAGTCTAAGCTTTAATATGAGGTATGCTCCTAGGCATGATGGCTTTTGTGTTACCCGCTTGTCATTTGTCACTGTAACATAGAACGCGTGTCGGGTGTCCGTTAACAGTGCTCACATTTGAAACCATGTATTTTGATCTTTGAATCGTTTCCAATGTAATGTTAGCGAAGTTGGTCGGTATCAGTTTTCTGTCCTGGCTGCTGTTGCCCATTGATAATCAATTATTCAAAGCAATCCAATGAGATTCAGTGTTCCATTGTGCTGAATAAAGAGATGTCATTTTTATCTCAAACCTCAACACTCAGCAGTGTTATGCAGCGCTCACTTTTTGTGAACCCGTTCAACCCTGCAGTGACAGATTATTGGACTTTATATCGGTAAAACTGAATCAGAAATTCAATAATATGACTTTTTCTTTTCAGTTCATTTTTGAGTATTAGTGTCCATCCAAAGCAACACCTTGTCTGTTAATGTGGGCGAGATAAATGGGCGGGATAAATTGTCACAGTGCAAGACGTTTATTGGTAGATTGATTGAAGTCCTCAAAAGTGGCGGCATCATGTTAATGAAATGCTTCTACTTTCCTCCTACCTCTTTCCTTTGTGGAATTTAAAAAATGTTCCACTGTACTCTCAACCCACCCTCTCTCTCTCTCTCTCTCTCTCTCTCTCTCTCTCTCTCTCTCATCAAGCCTTCTTCCGGTTGGTACAGTGTTTAAAAATGAAAAAGTCAAGTTAATGGAATTTCTTCCCATAGCGCATTGGATCCAGCTGCAGACATCTCTCTTCTCACCTTTCTTGCTTCTGCTGACAGATCATCTATCTGAACTAAATGTCTGCTCACGTCCTGAATAGGCACCGACAGAACACACACGCACACTTTGTTAGGTTTTATGTTGCTTTAGTTTTGTCACTAAAACTTGGTCTGACCTAGTTCTGCTGAGCTAGCTCACTGGAGCGTTGGGAATTAAATGAACCCGTTGCCGTCAAAAGCATACGCAGGAACACACACGCGCACACACACACACACACACACACATAAAGGTTTAGGTCTGTAAGGTGAACACACAGAGTGCAGTTGCATGCTGGAGGTGAAAAGCTCGGCCTTCCTTTGTTTTAGAGACACTTAAGAAAATGCTAGAGACCACAGATGTTTTATTCCTGGAGTGGGTTCTGTGTGTGTGTGTGTGTGTGTGTGTGGGTGCGCGTGTGTGTGCGTGTGTGTGTGTGTGTGTGTTTGGGGGAGGTGGCCTTCACATATGTTTGTGTTTTTGATATGTTTTTTTGAATGTCTGTTAGTGTCACTCACTGTGTGTGTGATTTGCTCATGAGACCGACTCCCCTGCCAAAAGAGCAGCAGAGCTCAGCAGCAGCTCCTGACAGCCCATCACACACACTGACATGGGAGCTCTGTGTGTGTGTGTGTGTGTGTGTGTGTGTGTGTGTGTGTGTGTGTGTGTGTGTGTGTAGCGTGCATCTCTTTTTTTCCCCTTTTTTATAGAAATTGACCAGAGATTAAATGAGACATTGACTCTAATACATACATAAGGTTATTCCTGCTAATTAGTTATGCAAATCGCAAATCATGCATACCCATGTACACACACTTGTTTCAGCGTATACGTGTGTCATCCTGTGCCTGATCCTGTTCTCATGTCGGCTTTTAGGCATGCCTTTAAAAAGATCACATGCTTCATCAGCTAACTTGGTCACAGGAGACCCTCCCCCTCATACGCTCACATAGACACACGAACGTAGCCTGAACACTGGCCTGGCAGAAATATCAGCATCAGAGTGGGACGGGGGCAGCACAACATCGAGGGGAATGTTTTGGTTCAGAGAGATGAGCAATTAAAAAAAAATGGCGGAATCAGAAACCTGAAAGAGATGGACAAATGAGTACTGAAAAAGAACAGGGGGAGGGATTAACCGTGGCAGGCCTGTGGGTATCACAGCTTGACATAGCTACACCCATCTATAATTTATGACATTGAAACCCAGGGGCCACATACATTATGCAGCAAAACCTTTATTAACTGAATTCAGAATTCATTCTGTGTCTAAAGACGCTGAAATATGCCTTCTTCTATGTTTAGAAATGTTCAGAAGTAAATAAGGAATACCGTTTAAGATATCTGGAGTGGAAGAGATTTAGTTTAATCTGTTATACTGACATGCTGTGGCTGACTGTTACATGTATATCTGACAATGACATCACTTAGTTTGCAGCATTTAAGTTACAGAAGAAGAAGGTTCTGAGGAGAAATGTAATTTTGGTATTTTATTTGACCCCCCCCTGGAAAATTGTGATGTCAGAACCAGAGTCGTGAACACCCAAATGTGTAAAAAAAAACAAAAAAAAACTTAAATCATGCAAAATGTTAAGATAAATTATACTTAATCCAATCTGATAAATTGATTTTACAACTTAATGTTTACTTCTTCCTTGGTTGAGATGCAGATGTGCCCCAGCTTCATTTAGTGTAGCAGTGAATGTCAGTAGTGGGAAAACCAAGCTAATGTCTTAGCATCAGAACACAAACAGAGACACAGAAAATCCAGGCCTGATGAATCAGAGCTGTGCAGTTTAAGGTCAAATGTCAACAGCAACATGCCAGAAATCTGAATTTAAAGCCCCGGGCCTGGAGGATTTAGCTCCAGAGATTAGCTTTAACATCGTGGAGCAGCCTAGCATGACCTGCAATTGTGCTGTAAATAAAAAAACAACAGCTTAGTGTTAATTCACATTGATAGGGCCAAACGCTTCCTCACTAAGTTTTTTTTTTTCTATCTTTTCTAGTCTGAAATCGGCTTTGGGAAACTTGAGACCTACATCAAACTGGATAAACTAGGGGAGGTGAGTTCATTTAAAAAAAAAAAAACACTGATGACAAACAAACTGCTCAAATCCTCTGCTAAATGCATTGCCACGCTGTCTGTCTCTGTAGGGGACCTATGCTACAGTGTTTAAGGGGCGAAGCAAGTTAACAGACAACTTAGTAGCTCTGAAGGAGATCCGGCTGGAGCATGAGGAAGGTGCGCCCTGCACTGCCATCAGAGAAGGTACCAAATCACTAATCACATGTTTGGAAGAAAGATTTTACAGGTCAACACAGGACCTTGTTGTCAAACCCTTGAAAGGTTGTGTTGTTCTTGTACAATACAGCAGTTACTCATCCCTTTTGCCTTTAGCTGTTGTCGTTCTCCCTCGTTGGCTGTGTTTGACTGACAGACTCTGATGTGTCTCCCTCTTCAGTGTCTCTACTGAAAGACTTGAAGCACGCCAATATTGTCACTCTCCATGACATTATCCACACTGACAAGTGCCTGACACTCGTGTTTGAGTATCTGGTGAGTGTCTATTCTCTGAATGTGTGTATGTTTGTTTTGAGTGTCTTCAGAGGATGTGTAATATTTAAATGAGGATTTATGCACTAGTTTCTTTTTTTTCATACATTTTTTCATTCTAATTTCTTTCTTTCTTTCTTTTCTTTCTTTCTTTCTTTCTTTCTTTCTTTCTTTTGCTCACATTAGGAAAAAGATCTGAAGCAGTACATGGATGACTGCGGGAACATCATGAGTGTTCACAATGTCAAGGTATTAGAGATGTGATGCCACTGAATGTCATAATATTTTAATTAATATTTTTGTTATGTAGTATTAACTCATACTTTTGCCCCCCTCCCCTCTACACTCCAGATATTTCTCTTCCAGCTGTTGCGAGGTCTGGCATACTGCCACAGAAGGAAGGTCCTCCACAGAGACCTTAAACCTCAGAACCTGCTCATCAATGAAAAGGGAGAGCTCAAACTGGCAGACTTTGGTACGTCACCACTCTTATGTCAATACAAACTAAAACTATTATCATGCAACTTGCTAAAGTGGTTCATGAGTGAAAACAATCATTTTTGTTGATATTGCACTTTTTGAACTTATGCGCTATATTTTTCTAATCATGACTGCCATTTTCATTTCAAAATGTTCAGAGCTGTCATGAAAAGAGGGATTAACACATGCATTATACAGAGCTAATTAACAGCATTGACATTATGACAAATTCATCTGCTTAACACAGATAACGAAATCATTTCTTCCAATGGTTGCTCAGCATTCTTTTATGAGCTCAAGTTGAACATGTACCCTCCATTTTTACTTGTTTGTTGCTACAGTTAGCCCGTGATTTAGAGAGTTTGACTTTTATTATATGATATTAATTACAAAAGGAGTCCAATTTGAGAGCCTCACTAGCGGCCCCTAGAGACCGAACTAGTGTTAAGACCCAAGCAGACAGCACAGTTTGAATTAAACCACCATCCAACACTGCCCTCTTTAGGTAGTAATATAATATTACATACAGTCATACATAGTCTTTCATTGTCTTCACTAGACTTTCTGTGTTCTTCAGTTAAAACAAGGTTATAAATAAGGATTTTAAAAATCCACTGATATATAACACACATGCAGTTTTTACAAGTTCAAATTCAATTAGAGTGAAATATAAAATCTGTTCTTGATTCAAGAATGAAATTCTGTTCAGTGAGTCCCCTAAATCCCAAAATTGAAAGTAAAAGAAAGTAATATTTATTTTGACTAACATCATTTTTTTGTGATTTATTTAAGGTTTGGCGAGAGCCAAGTCTGTTCCCACAAAGACCTACTCCAATGAAGTTGTGACATTATGGTACAGACCACCCGATGTTCTTCTAGGCTCCACTGAGTACTCCACACCCATTGATATGTGGTGAGCAAACACACATCCACAGCACATGACACCACCTCTGCTGGTCAGTCTCTTCCTGGATGCATTTTTGTCTTAATGTGCATGCCTTAAAAAAAAAATCGATATTTTCTCCATTTTTTAGTTGCTTGTGACACAGCTCATATTTCATAAATCGGTTATCTTTAGTTAAGTTGTGAGCGTTATGAGCGGTTTGAGAGGGAACTTTGGGATGCAGTTTTGTTCTATGCCTTGTAAATCTATTAAGGTACTACTCCTAAAGGGTTGGCCTTAGTTTTACTATACTTTGTATGTTTTATGAATTTTAACCAACTAACTAGAGGGATTAGACAGCAGACAAAGTCAACATTACAATGCAGAAGTCATGTTGAAGTGTTGTAACAAGACAGCACAAGAAAATTGTTTGTTAATGTCCCATGTCCTCCACATATGCTGTATTTTTTATCAAATCACATTAGCTCATTCCTACTGTTTCTCTCCAGGGGTGTTGGATGCATCTTTTATGAAATGATCACTGGCAGACCTCTCTTCCCTGGATCCACTGTGGAGGATGAGCTTCACCTCATATTTCGTATCCTAGGTGAGACAAACACAGCAGAATCTGGATGAGCTTTTGCGTGTTTTTTTATTTTTGCATGTGCATCCTAATAATAATTTGGCTGATGATTTCTATTCACCAGGTACCCCCACAGAAGAGACTTGGCCTGGTAGCACGACCAGTGAAGAGTTCAAGACGTACAATTTCCCCCAGTACAATGCAGAGCCTCTCGTCAACCACGCACCAAGGTGTGTAGCTATGGCTGCATTTGTGTGTAACAGTATATTAAAAGATAGCTTTATAGTTTTTTTTAAGTCCCTTAAAATGACTTTGAGAATTCTGAATTCACATTGAAACAGGTTTTTTGGGGTTATTGTTGCTGAAACTTGCTGAAAATTCAGAAGTAATGCAACAACAAAACCACGCTGCAAATGAAAAACGTGCTGCAAATATAAAGCAAATGCTGTGAAAGATAATCTGCAACACAAACTGAAAAGATTAACCTAGCAACGAAATGCAACCTAAAAATTCTACATCGCACCTGAGTGAAGTGCTCCAGGCCTGTAGGGGGCAGTGTTCACTGGACATCAAAGAGCAATGCTTATTGCACTTTTGCTTATCCCCTGCTGCTTTCATTGAAGTTGAGAACCGATCTACCAGTAGAAGAAGCTCTACATAACCATTTCCCCCTCTGCTGCTCCATTATGTCTTACCTCAATGTTTAGCTACCCTGGAACTCAATTCTCTCCTTCTGTCACTTTGCCCTCATGTCTCACCCTCTTTTCTCTTGCTTCCTGTAACACAGGATAGACAGTGATGGTCATGACTTGCTCTCAATGCTTCTACAGGTAACAAAGATTTCCCATAATGAGTCATACTTTTAATAAATGTTCACCTAATGCATTGAATTAAAAACGAATAATCCTGTCATTATATCCATTATCTATCTTTATGTGTCTGTAGTTTGAGGCTAAGAAACGGGTATCAGCTGAGGATGCTCTCAGACAATCGTATTTCAGGAGCCTCGGGGAGGAGGTTCAAACACTGGCTGACAGTGAGTGCATACACTTAGCCATGATGAACATACAGGCGTGGCTCACAAACACTGACTCACTAACTGTCTGTTGTTTCAGCTGCCTCAATCTTCTCTGTAAAGGGCATTCAGCTACAGAAAGATCCAGGGAAAAGGTCCTCTGTCTACCCAGAGTCAGGTAAGTGAGCACGATACAAAAAAAAAATGAGAGCGGGGGGGGTCGGGGGGGCAGGCAGACGTGAGGAATTCTCAAGAGGAATATGATAGAAATGAGGTCTTGCTTCCTGTCCTCTTCCTACTCTTTCTCTTTACTTTCTCTCTGTCCAACTCTTTGCTTTATGTCGTCTTTCATGTCACTGTGTGGTTCTACATGTCACACACAGTCTAATCACAGGTTGCTGCTTTCCGTTGATCGCAAACTCCAGATGCTGAAATACATTTTTAAAGCAAGTATCTTTGAAGGTCCAAATAGAGTTAGGGTGCATGCAGATAGCAGTTACTTCTGCAGTAAGATGTGTGTAGGGCAGAGAAGGTCACGCTTTTAGATCTGTATGGGCGGCTCTCTTGGTTTTCTCCATCACATGCAAACAAGCTAACATGTTTCGAGTAAGATTTGTTTGAAATGTCCTCATTAGAATTTATTTTCAACCTCTTTGGCGAGCGTTTCATTCTGCATCTAGCGCCGTCACCTAGTCAAAAACTGTATTTGTCCACTTAAGTTTGGTACGTTCAAAATGCTGCAAACAAGCATGATAACTAGCATGCACACAACTGTGCTGAGTTTGGAAAACATTGTCAACATAATAACTGCCAAACAGAATGTTAGCATACTCATCAGGAAAAATCCCAAAAGACATGCACATCCCTCAGTGGGTTCTGGATCCAAAAACACAAATAGGTAAAAAAAATAAAAAATAAAAGCAAAAAAGATCCGCACACCAATAAGCTGCCGTTACAAGGATTTATTGATAAGTGACGTTTGGCGCCAACATGCTCTTCCTCAAGTGAGGATATCAATAAATCCTTCAAACGGGAGCTTGTTGGTGTGCAGATCTTGTTCGCTTTTCTTTACCTAGCATTGTCATCCATGCTACCGTTGGTATTTAGCTCTTAGCCTAAAATTGATGCTAGTATTTTTGTTGACTCGCATACAATATTTACTACCAATCAAAACAAGTCAGCATGCTTCAGCGTGTCAGATTCAATGCTACATTTTGTTATGAAAATGAAATGATCAAATGTTGAAAGATGTTCACACTTAAAGCTAAGGGCATTTGATAACAAATGGGGATGGGTGACCAACTATTGAGAAAGTATTCAGTTACTGGAGATGTTTTTTTTTAACTATCTCTGTTAGAACTATCTTATCTTACTGTCTTGCATACCTTATGTATCTTTGTTACATTTGCTTAGATCTACGTCAGTGTTTCTGTCTCTATCACAGTCTGTGTCTTCTTTCTTCCTGCTTCCCCTGCCTCCCTGTCTTCTTCTGATAAACCGTCCTTCCTCTTTCTTGTCACCCATGCGCTCTCCTTTTGCAAATGTTCGTCTATTCCGCAATCCCTTCTATCTCCTTTGTGTGCCCTGCTTTCAACTCTTCTGCAACAACTCAATATTCCCCACCTTTCCCCCCCCCCACTTTCTCACCTTACCCCCCCAAAAAAAGCGATGGCCCATAAGCTAGGCTCCGCACCCTCGCAGTACTTCCAGAGAGAAGCAGCCAATCCCAGGGCTCAGAGTCACAATCTGTCTTCCACTTCCACTGGCTGAGTGGTCCCTATCCTTCTGGTAAATACGTACTCTTTCATTCTGTCTGTCTGCTGTTTTTCCTCTCTTTTCTGTTTGACTGTCTATTTAGCAGCTTTTCTTCTGTCTATTTACACCTTGTATTTGAGGCAATCCTCCTTCGTGTACAGCTCCTCACTTTGCATCCCCTGAAACTAGAGCTGCACATTGTCTGTTACCTGTTCAAACTCTCATCCTTTTCTTCTTTCCATTGTGTTTTTCTTTGTCTCTCTTTTTTTTTTTTGTTCTTTCCTCTCCCCTTTTTTTCTCCTGCCTGGCTTCACCTCAGCTTTAACTTACCTAATCCTCTTTTTCTCAGAGTGAGCCACTCCCAGTGTTTGTTTCTGGGATGAAATGGGCATCAAGAGTGTTTATTCATAAAAGAGAAGAATGTGATCACAGAACAGGGATGAGTCATTTGATTCTTTTCATTTGCAGCCCTGTTTAGGTTTCTACGACGAGAGATGTAGCCTTTGTGAGTCTGTAAGTGAGGGTGTGGTGTGGCGTGTGTGTTTTTGGTTGGCTGTGTATTTTAAAGGCATTTCCTATCACAATATATATGTGTGTTTTTCTGCTGTGTTTTCTGAAGTGAAATGCAGCTTCTGCTTCATGAGATAACACAACGTTTCACAGGTTAGAGCAGTGCTTCTCAACTCGTCTAGCCTCAGGACCCACCACCAACTACTCCCTGAAAAACCGTGATCGAAATATCTGATATTATTCAACAAATCAGATTTTTTTAATGCAAAATTGTGCAGTTTTTTGCAGTTTGCATCTTCCGTCAAATGTTTTCAGACAATGCAAAACATCTGATTGAAGCAATACACTGAACAAAACAAACGTGTTTCAAAAAGTGCTTTACAAACTGTTTGACACCAGGTTTTTTCACATGCTCGTGACCCACTGAAATCAGCTCAGTCACCCACCTTTGGGTCCCGACCCACCAGTTGAGAATCACTGGGTTAGAGGAACTATAAGATCTTTTTTTTTTCATGGCACTGGTAGCAACGCTGCACTACGACCAAAGACATTTTTTCACATGCTTATGTCGAGGACTTTAAACTATAAAAAAAGAACAAAAGAAAGCAAATAAGTTTACAAAATTGACTCTGCACAGAAAATATAGAAATGTGTCTTTAAAAGTGCAGACTTGGTAGATGCATGGGAAGTATAGTAGTTGAAAATATTCAAGCTTGCTTAAAGTTCGAGTAAGGAACCCTGGGCCAGGGGGTCTCAACTGGTCAAGCCTCAGGACCCTCCAACTACTTCATGAAAATTTGTGACCCAAATGTTGTTTTTTTCCAATCAAGATTTATCTAAAGATATTAAGATATTGTTTATTTATTTATTTAAAGAAAATGGTGCAGTTTGGACCTCAGACGGTACAAAGCATCATAGAACAAAGAAACTGAATGACACCAAATTGCTAAAAAAAAGCCCTTGATAGACTTCTTGTCAGCATTTTTCTTCCAGGCACACATCGTAAACCACTGAAAATGGCCCCGCGACCCACTTTTGGGTCCTGACCCACCGGTTGAGAACCACTTCCCTAGGCTATAAGTCGGTGTCAAATGAAGCGATTTACAGCACGCTGCTGAAACATCCTTTGTTTAACTTTTCCACAAGGATTCAGGAATGAAATATTTTACTGTTAAAAGACTGCAGCATGAAACATAAGGGACCAGTACTGACACGTTTACAGGACAGGATCACTTTGTCCACAGGGGGGCTCCAAAGCTTTCACAAACAGAAAGTTCCTCACAGCAGCCGTGATTTAAAATGTTGACTTTGACCAATGATTTCTTGAACAATCAAAATGCAGCACAGAATGTGTATGTTCTCTATTTACTGCATATCTTCGGCAATATTTATTAGTCTATTTAAATTATTAGGAATTGAATAAGTACCTTGTGTTTTTTGATGTTTTTTTTAGAAAGATTCAAAGTAAAATATTATCTTCCGCTGAGTCAAAATCAAACATTTTAAATTTTGAGCATGAGCTTAACATCATCCGTCACTTTAAGGATGAACTGGAACACAGACTGTAAGCCAGATTTGATCACCCAGGATCAGTCCTCTCTAATGCTCTTGTAACTAATAGGAGCAAATCCCTAAAACCAGGATCTAAAATCCCAGAGGAGAGGAGGCGGTTATATCAGCTTTCTTAATGCTCATTAAACAGACAGGTGATTGTACATCTAAAGCTGAAGAAAATAAACATCTGAGTTAAGATTCATTTCTTTAAGTTTTTTTTTTTTTTTTTACAGTTATAGGTTTCATGCGCTCAAGTAAATCCTTTTTGTCTGAAATTTCACTTAGATAACATTTTAAAGATAAGAACAATAAATTACACCATTAAGGGCTCTTAGAAATTTGTATTGGCATTATTTTGTATTTTCTGATATTTAATGCCAAATGTCAAATTATCGATGGAAAAAGAGATAAGCTGTATTGTTTAAATTTTTTTATGTTGCTTGCATGAAGTTTGTTTTGCAGATGGTTGGTTTGTGTGGCTCAATGACAATCCATCCCTTTTTTCACATCTCTCTTTCTTTCTTTCTCTCTCTTTCTCTCTCTCTCTCTCTCAGCCCAGGGGAAGAGCAGGAGGCAGAGTGTGTTGTTTTAGTGCTGGCGGGGGCGCTGAGCTGAGGAGGACAGTGGCACATGGAGCTGCCCTGTCAGAAATACATTCACTGACCCCGCCACACACACACTGAAGGAGGGACACACACAATGCCACATTTACACACGCTGAAGAAGAAAACACACACACACTCACACTCACACACACACACACTGAAACAGAACACACACACAGAACAACGGCTGAAGAATTCTCACTCAACTACAAAGACTTAAGGCTCAGCTCAACTCGAAAGACAGAAAAGTAAAAAATAAAACTGAGACGTGCGTGATGCTGGACGAAAAGTGGGAGAGTACCAGACTCTCCTTGCTGCTACTACCGCCGCCATCCAGGAGAGGGCAGTGTTTAGGACGTCAGCTGTTTCTGAACTTGCTGTAAGTGTGAGCTGTGAGGAATGAAGGAGTGAAACGTGGACACGACAGAGAGAGCAAACTTTCACTTTGTCCTGCGCCTTTCTTTTTTGTTTTGTTCTGTTTTTTGAATTAGCTGTACATAAAGAGACTGAGAAGTAGAACGGGGCTTTGTCATTACATGCCTCAGCCTGAATCCAAACTCTGAATATTGCACCTCAACCCTAAACCCTTGCCTGACCTGGTGGCCCTTAACAACATGATCTTTAAAACAACACACACAAACACACAATCTCTCTCTCTCTCTCTCTATCTCTCTCTCTCTCTCTCTCTCTCTCTCTCCCTCTTCTCTCTAATGAACACACAACGATGTTTCACTTGAACGTTTGTAGATCAAAGGAGTTTACAGAGATAAAACTTTAGCACCTTATTGTCCGGTAGAGGTCAGGATGGCTGTCATAACTTTACCTCATCAGTCACTCATGGAGAGAAGGATGTGACGTACACTCTGGACATTAAAAAAAGAGTCAAACTTGTGAACCAAAAAAAAAGTAAACCAGAGGACAGAAGTGTTCTCCTTCAATAATGGAATTGGTTTCTGTAATTAAAACACTCATAAACGATTAGTAAACAATAATTACATTTGTCACATGCTGTAAAAAAAACAAACAAAAAAACACACTACACTTCTCGTGTTTTGGTACACATGATAAATAACCTTTGAGGACAGAGAGGTAAAGAAAGTGTACAAATCCTCACCTGCTTATCTTAGACACCCTTCCTCTCTTGCCTTGACTCAGAAGTTGTCTTGATTTGTTCTGTAAATGTAAAGCTGTCCATGTTGAAATGTTCTCTTTTGCACCCGCTTATACCTCTTAAGATCATGAATCATTCAACAAACCCCAAACCTCCCCTCCCCCCCAACTCCACTCGCATTTATTTTTACAATTTTCTTTTTTATTATTATCTGTATATATGATCATACTTTGTACTTGCCAGAAGCAAAGATAATTCCAGGATGCTGTTCTCAGTCTTTACCGTGTTCCCCCCCAGCGGAGCGACTGGTGACTGGCTGGGGACGTGTTGCACATTCCTTGAGCTCAGGACTTATTGCTTGTGATGTTTGTGAGGTACAGCCGGTTGTGTTTGTCTCCCCTGTAGAGTAGAGTGTGTCGCACACGGGGTGAAACTCTTTGAAAAGCTGTATTAAAGTGTAAGTGAAGAAGAAGAATAGTCATTCCTCAGCATCATCTTGTCAGTCTTCCTGATCGTCGTTCATTCTCGGCTCATTCGACCATCATATTGCTGATTAGTGGCTACCATACCCATGTCTCTATGTGTCATCTCTTTAAGCATGTTCGTGTATTGAACACAACTGTTGTCAGATGGTTTGTGAAATAGCTGCAGCTGGGAAAAAGGTTCAGATTGTGCATGGGGCAAGAACTTATAACAGGACTTTACAACACATTAACCTTAATGTGCTCCTCGGTATGTCTGGAGACTGTACCTTAGATAAGATAAATAAAAACATCACAGCTAGTTTATATGAAAAATCTGACTCGACTTTCAGCTGTACAGTGAAGTTGTAACGGTAAAGTCTCACTGGGCGCTAAAATACAGCAGGAGCATTGATGTCTCTGCTGTTATTTTCCAAGGCTGCCAGAAACAACCGGACCAAAGTCCATCCTCCAAGCTGCTGTAAAAGCACACAACTGTTTCCCACACCAAGCAGTTACCATGTCCACATGTACTGTATCTATGATGAAGATGGTCTGTGTTAGTTTTCTGTTCCTCAGGCACTGACCTCGGATCACTTCTTTGCCTGAAATGGATTCAGAAAGGGTGAAGTAATCCCTCGTCTCTGCCTGTCAGAAGGACTCCTTCTCCACCCCAGAGTGTGACAGTACAGTATGTAGCATGTACATAGATGATCCCTCACTCTGTATATATAAAAGTGTACAGGTTTGATACAGCTATTCACACTCTGGATTTTCTTTTCTCGTTTCTCTTCTTTAATGAAAGTCATAGCAATATTTCTGTAATCAATTAAAAAAAAAAGCCAAGGTAATAGGATGAGTATGCATTTGTGTTTGTTTAGTGAGGGAGAAATGACTGTGAATGATCAAACTGTGAGACTTGACTAAAACGAGGGCAGTTGTTTTTTTTTTCTTCTTCTTTTTTTTTTTTTTCTTGCTGTTTAACATGCTGGATCCAAAAGGCTGGAGTGAAGTATTGTGTTGAAAAGGAGTATAACACACTGATGAATTTGATTTGTATCAATGAAAGCCATACAACGGTCATATATGGGTGACAAAGGTCTGTTTGTGTGCGGGGGGTTGTGAACCATGTTTGAGAACAGACCTTCAGAAGCAAAGATGATGTGTACACCTGATGAAAAAAAAACAATAAAAAAAATCATGTAATTCATTTTTTTTTCTTGTCATATGTCCTTTGAAGTCGTTCCTATCAAGATAGCTATAACACGTCATCATTTACATATAGACATTCCCATTGTTTTGTTTTTTTACATCACTCATTTTGCTATTTACTACGAGATCACAATGTTATTAGTAAGAATCTTTACTCAAGTGATACAGCCCCTGGCTAAAAGATGAGGAAAAGCAGATTGTCTTGTCTTGTCTTTGAATCTTTACTCCCTCTAACTTTGACACAACCTTAACAATCCTCACAATAAGACAAAAAGACAATAACCAATAATCACACTAAAAATGCTATTGTATAATAGAGGAATTCTGCAGCCTCGTACCTAGTCCGTGGAAGTCTATTCTCCTGAGTGTGTCTACAAAGTTGTGTTTATGGATCCCTCATGCAAGTCTTTTTTTATTCTTTCAAAGATTCCTTAGGTGAGACTCTTTGGCTCTTGTTGATTGAAGCGACCGTGGTTTCACCCTCAGAAATTTGTGGATCTGAGGCCCATGGGTTCCATCCACACAGGACAGTGTGGACAGCGTATCCTCGAAACTGAAAGGACCAAACAAATAGTGTAGTCAAATATAAAGACAAAGTTAAGTAAGTGTGAAAATCTTTCTTTTTCTTTTTCCTGCGTTTGTAAATATAAAAGTGCGAGCTGCTAGTTTCACCTGTCTGTTCATGAAGATGTATATGATGGGGTTGTAGAAAGTGCTGCTTTTAGCCAAGTAAACAGGTATGGTAGCTATAACAGGGTCGATGTACAGACTGGAGTCCAGGATGACAGCGAGGGCCATGGCAGCGTATGGCAGCCAGGTAAACAGGAAGGCCAACACCATCACCACCACCATACGTGCAACCTGCGTCTCCACTCGATGTGTGCTGCCTGCCTCAGAAACCTGCAGCTTAGTCACCTACGTAACCAAAATGCAAGTAAAAAGAGCTCATTGTCAAGATAGAGTCAGCAACATCTTTATCTTTGAGTATCTCCGCCAACATAGCCTTTGCTCACCTGACGGAGCGTCCACAGGAGTCGGGAGTAGGACACCATGATGATGGAGAATGGAATCACAAAGCAGAGGAAGAAGTACAAGACGATGTAAGACATGTTCCCCACATCCCGGCTGTACCAGTTGGGGGCGCAGGAGGTCTGCACCCCCTCCAGCTCATAACTTCCCCAGCCGAACAATGGCGGGGTGTTCCACACAAACGACCACACCCAGGACAGAACCACTCCTGCAACAGCGTGTCTGAGGAGAGATGGCACAGAGGGTACGTCACAGGAAGGAGGAGGAATCATTGTCTTGTGTTCTTTGAGTGATATGTTGATCGTCACTACTCTACCTGGTCTGGAACAGGACAGCACCCATGGGGTAACATACCACTAGGTAGCGTTCAACAGAAATGACTCCAATTGTACACAGGCTTGCTATACCTAACAGAAAAGAGGGAGGGTTTCAGTGGAATATAGTCCAGTTTGGAGCTTTGCCTAATAAACAGAGGTTTAAATACAGAGGTAGAAAGAAGCAAAGTACTTTAACTTAATGTATATGAATACATTTATTAGTATTTCCACTTTCGCAAATTAATACATTTTACATTTAAGATCGAAATAGTGGTGCTTTTATTACTGTTAGTTTGAGTAATACAAAAGTCTGAAAACTATTTCCCATACATGAGCCATTAATATTTTACATCCAAAACACTGATGAGCTAATGAAACATTGTCAAAGATTTTATTTCCAAATTTCTTTAGTGTGTCAAACTTTACAAAATGTCTATTTCTAGTTTGCATCCTTCGTTGACTTTCCGATGTGACTTTGGGATTCTATCCAAATATACCTTGATGGGTTTATTTGGTTACTTTTGTTTTTTCCCCTGAGCACTGCTGCACTCTATGTATTTCAAAAAGGCAAAAAATGAGGGATGATTCCATACAAATGATCAGCGCTGTGCAGCTTAACTTCTTGTCTTTTTCTTTCCAACTCCGATACGCATCCATCCTCTCCAACTCCCAACTCATTCAATATCGTGTCTTGTGGCCCTTTGGAGGGGTCTTATACAATTCTACAATTCATTTAGCAGATGCTTTTATCCAAAGTGACGTATATAACAGAGAGTAAGTACGACACAAGCAAGGATTGAGAGTAGAGGAAACAACGTGCAAACAATCAGCTTTAAGTGCGATTGGACACAGATGCTGACATGCAGTGGACTTTTCATTTTTAAGTGATTAAAGTTAATCCATCTTCATCGACAACTGCATCGACGACTGTTTTTGAGAGTTCTAATCAGAATCAAAACCATCCTAAATATCGACAACATCCCAATAATAGTAGCAGCTATACAATGTTCCATGTATGCATCAACACTATCATGTATAGTATAGAGTGACCATTTAGCACTGCAGAGCTAGTGCTCTAACTTGTAACATTTGATTGAAGTATTTATTTGAAGAAAAAAAAAAACACCTTTTTACTCATACATGAGGATTTTTATGAGCTGTTTGACGAGGTATTTGAAGACTTATTCTGCTGCTATATACAAATTAAATTATAAAAAAAACTGTGAGTTAAATTTTAACATGCAAACTATTCTGTTGGGAAAAAAAAAAGATTGATGAATGTTTGCTGACTTACCAAAAAAGGCCACAGCAAAGCCCTCTAAGGTGCAGCCCACACGTCCCAGGCTGAAGTAGCCCATGGCACTGGTTATTGTGGTGGGGATGCCTCCAAACAGAGCAGAGCCCAGGTCGCATATGGCCAGGTTAACCAGAGCATAGCTCAGCGGCTGTCTCAGCTGTCTGTGCCTCAGTGTCACCACGATCACCAGAACGTTGAGGATGATCCCGGCCCCGGAGAACACACCCATGATGACGGCCAGTGTTGTGTAGCCAGTCTGAGAGAGGAGCTCTGTGTTGACTGAGTTGTGAAACGCTGAGGAGTTTCCATGTTGGACTAGGTGCTCCATTTTTCTCTCACTGTAGATTACGTGATTTATGTGACTGCTCCCTGGTGTGAAAAGAAAGTGTCACCAGTCCATGTATGAGCTGTAAACAAATCCAATTCAAGTCCCAATGCCTACAAAGAAAAACGACTGCTTCACACAAAAGAAAATGTGAGAATAGACCAATGCGGTCTTTCTACATTTGCACCATGTTTGCTTCTCTGGTGCAGCTGGAAGCAAGAGAAAGGGAGGTAAGACCCTCTTAATAAGCCCAGTCAGAGGAGGAGAGGTGCTCTAAACCATGACATTTAATTCTTGAAAACCAAATCCACAGATCCGGATTGTGATGAAAGTAAGTCTGCCTAATATCCTGTAAGACTGCACTTTCCATGATTGCTGGATTTACAGCTGCTCTTTCTAATGAAACAGGGATTCGGTCACACAATATGGTATTTAGGATCTGGGTTAAATGCATGTGGGTTAAAGGCATCGATGGACCAATAAAGCATGTTGATCACCTATCTTTGTATGAAACTAAATATAAAGCACATGGAGACTGGCTTTTTGTTACGCTAACATGTCAGTCAGCCAAATATTGGCTAGATTTTCCTCAACAATCTTCAACTCTAAATAACAGAAATGTTCAGTCCCAAGAGCCACCTTTGAAGATTTGTAAATATAAATTCTACACGTGTAATTTAGATCTATATTTTCTCCAAAAGGATAAAATTAATTAATTAGATTACTTTTATGTCAAACTGATCCCATAATCTGAAGAGCAAGGCTGATTAAATTATTAAGAGGGGAAGCTTTTTTTTACTGAGGCTACATAATAACTCATTATTTATGTTTCCTTATTTAGGCTAACTGAAGCCTTAATTGTAAATTAAAAAACAGCCCCAGTTTTGCTACAATGTATTTGATTTTTAACTTGCTGAAAATGTCCCTGTTGGTTTTTAGGGTTATTACTTTTTAACTTTATCAATGTTTTTTTTTAGATCATTTAAAAATGCTTTCGATTAATCAGGCCAGTATGGTCGGATCAGTTCTCCTCCTGGCCACCAGAGGGCGGTGTGAGCTGCAGCTGCATTAAAAAAAAAAAAAAGACAAACAGACGATGAAAAAAAACAGTACCGTTTGCTCACCGTCGGTAAACAGTCCACTGAACATGGCGGCCTCCTTGAGGAAAGCAGCGCATGACATCGAAACGCGAAAGCGGACCGACGATGTGCTTCTGTCGGAGGGAATCGACTTCAGCGCTCTGCTGCTCTCTCGGGCCGTGCTGGACGGACTTTCCTCCTCGGGTTTCCAGAAACCTTCTCCGATCCAGCTCAAGGCGATCCCGCTGGGCCGCTGCGGACTCGGTGGGTACATCACGTCTCCTCCACATGTTTCACAAACAGTGGTCTTGTTGTCTTTTTATATAATTGTATTTATTAAGCAGCGGAAAATACTATTGACTCTTTCCGTGCTGTAGGCTGAACGCAGTAAGTTCAAGTAGAGAGTCAAAGTAGGCTCCTGCAAAGTAACATCAATGTCCACAATACAAGTTAAAATTGCACGTATAAAATAAGATGGCATGAGCAGAAACCCATAAAATATACACTTACACTAATTATTATGTGGTGCATGACCTGTAGGTTGTTTTAGACTGCTCCTAAATGTGTCATTCCTAAAAGTGACTTGCTTCTTGAACTGAGCTCCCATTTAGCTAAAGCTTCACTATTCAAATAGTTTCATCTTTCCATTTCCTACTTACGTGTCAGAACATGTCTCTCTATAAATCATCTGAATTTTAGATTTTCATTATCATTATTATTTCATTATCATTTTCATTACAGCAGCATCTCGCAAAACTACATTGTAGATTCTTGAATGTAGTTTTGCGAGATGCTGCTGTAATGAAAAGAAAGTGAAGCACTGAGCCAGTTTACTGCACATTGCAACATATTGCACAAGTTTACTTTTTCTTTAAATTTAATTTAATTTTCTTTACCATTTTGTACCGTTTGCACAATTTAGAATTTATTACTGTAAATATTATTTATCTTATTTTTACTTCATTTTAATTGATCTATTTTTACCTTATCTTATTTTACCTTATTTTGGTTGTATTGCACCGCGGGACGGAGACAAACGCAATTTCCATTCCACTGTATGTCTGGCATATTTTAGAATTGACAATAAAGTTGACTTTGACTTTATCATCACAGTGCACTTGAAGTGAACGCCACAGGAACATGGTGGGACCCAGCAGAATAGTCCTTCTAGCTACGAGGCAGCATTATTTGACCCAGTCGAAGTTATTGTGGAAGCTCAAATTGTGATTTGGATTATTTTTGATGAACTGTGGCTGACTCGCGTTGTCCGTCTGCTGTTTCAGATTTGATTGTTCAGGCCAAGTCTGGCACGGGAAAGACGTGTGTGTTCTGCACCATCGCTCTGGACTCTCTGGTGCTGGAGAATCCTGCAACTCAGGTGAGACGATTTAAATGGCACGAGTGGAAAAAGGAGACAATTAATCAAAGTGATTCATGTGTTTAAAAAAAAAAAAAAAAGCAAAGTCATCAGTCTCCCCAGGCATCTTCAAATGATAAAAAAATAAATAAAGAGTTTGTTGTAATCCAGAACTTTAATTTGAAAGCTCACCAACAATGGATGGTCCTGAGAGGATAATATCTTTGGCTATCAGTTTAAACTGCTTAATGTCAAAATTGTGAAAGAAAGAGGATTAAAATTGAAAAAGCAGAGGTAGGCTGGTCTTAGTGATGGACTGACTGCATTCTAGTGCACTCTAATCTTATTATGTGTGGGGTCTTAATGATTAGAAACCCTTGAGAACCTGCCTATCTTTAATTCTCTACCAATCAAAAGTAAGTCGTTATTCACGTCTCCCCTTTTCCCCACCATTAGGTTCTGGTTCTGGCTCCTACACGTGAGATAGCGGTGCAGATCCACTCTGTAGTGATGGCTATAGGCTGCGCCATGGAAGGCCTGGAGTGCCACGTTTTCATCGGAGGCCGGCCTGTAGGCCAAGATAAACTCCACCTGAAGAAGTGCCATATAGCTGTGGGCTCACCGGGTAAGAGGCGTCACCTGTTTCTGGAACCATTGTGCTGTTTTCCTTTGTGTCTTACAGCGATGCTCCTGCTTGTGTTCATAGGTCGTATTAAGCAGCTTATCGAGCTGGGCATGTTGTCCACCGCCAGCATCCGGCTGTTTGTTCTGGATGAGGCCGACAAGCTGCTGGAGGAGGGCAGCTTCCAGGAACAGATAAAGTGAGATCCCTGATCGTTCTCATCTGTATCAGTCACATGTATCAGTTTGTTTGACTCATGGATTTATTTAATATTACAGTCCTATCAAAATCACTGAAACAAGAATTCATCGACCTTATTTGCTCCGTCTCCACAGCTGGATCTTCTCCTCTCTGCCTACAAACAAACAGATGCTCGCCCTTTCGGCCACCTACCCAGAATCCCTTGCAGCGCACCTAACCCGTTACATGAACGAGCCCACGTTCGTTCGACTCAATCCCAGTGACATGGGTCTAAAAGGTAAAATCCTGATGCATTTGGTGCTCTCACTGTACCTATGAATGAAGCAGAAATATTTAATTAAAAGGGAATTAAAGCATCATTTTGTAGAATAAATCTGATTTGATTCATCAGAAACTCCATGTCTGGTCTACAAATTAAACCATACAGTATCAACAATAACCTCTGTCCTGCTGAACAGAGGAGGACATTAAAAAAAAGACAGCATTGAAGAAAAAAGGTTTCCTAGAGTTATTATTTCCTTTAAGATTTAAAGAAGTCTTCTCTGAATAGGAGTTCATTCTTTGAAGTTTAAGCTGACTTCTGTGAACCAAAAATTGGCAAAAAATGTCTTCCATCGAGTTTGAAAAACTAACAACCCTGACGTCCACATACAGTATATAGTCACTCTGTCCAATTCCCTCTGAAATATCAAGTTATGCTGCCCCCTCCTCCTCCCCTCACCCCTCATGATGTATGATGCCCTTGTATTCCCCCTGTCAGGTCTGAAGCAGTACTACAAGCTGGTACAGTCCCATCCTTTACCTCACAAGGTGTTCGAGGAGAAGGTGCAGCACCTGCTGGAACTTTTCAGTAAAATCCCATTTAACCAGGCACTGGTGTTCTCCAACCTACACACAAGGTGATGCACGGTTTAAATGCTTACTGTAATGGTCGTTTGTGCACTTAATTTCACAATCTTTTAAAACCAAGATTAAAAGGAAGCTGTGGCTGCTGGCATTATTATTATTTTTTTTAATTATAGTAAACATTCATTAGATCTAAAATTGTGAAGATGTTTCTCTGAAAAATAGTTTTTCTCCCACAGGGCTCAGCACCTGGCAGACATCCTGTCCTCCAAAGGCTTACCTGCTGTTTGTATCTCAGGTGAGGGAGCCTTTAGAAAACAGAAATTATACTAATGATATTTAACAAGTAGCTTAAGTAACTTTAGAAAATATAGTCGATTCCAAATGACCTTTTGATGAAAAGTTTCTGTGATTGAGATGTAACCGTGTTTCATGACCTGCACAGGTGGTCTGAGTCAGGACCAGAGACTTGAGGCGATGTCCAAACTGAAGCAGTACCAGTGCAGGGTGCTCATCTCCACTGACCTGGTGAGAGACACACGTCCTCTGCATGTCCAGCACTCTTCTTTAAATGTTTCTCTTAACAGATGCTTCTCTAGGCATGTGTTTTATGATCAGCTTCTTTAATCCTGTTTCTCTGTACTGTCAGACTTCCAGAGGTATAGACGCAGACAAAGTCAACTTGGTGATCAACCTGGATGTGCCGCAGGACTGGGAGACCTACATGCATCGAATCGGGCGAGCCGGCCGTTTCGGTTAGTCTCAAATACACGGTCATGGTTGTAGCTGATTTAAACAGTGGTGACTGAAGTGTGATGTGCAGCATTTACCTGCTTTGGGGAACGGTTGATGGCCTTGTGAGGATGAAAAGGAACCTGGAGACTTTGCATAGTAGTTGCAGGGTCTTTCTTCTGTTTGGGAAACATTTAATGGAAAGGGAAAAAAAAGTGCACTCTTGCACAATAAATGGAGTAAAAACCTCCAACTTAATTAGCTTACACAATATTATTATTATTATTACAATACTTCAAAATATTACTCTGAAACATATATTTTGTAAACATTTAAAAAAAAAACATTTTTCACCCAATAGCATTTGTTAATGTACATTGTTGCAGAACATTTCATGCTGATATAATATTTGTATAACAATGTTCAAGCCTCTGAAGTACAAGCAGAGGCCAGTACTATCACGCTGAGACGTTTATCAACCTGATAAGGAAACTCAGAGTTTCTAAGAGCATGTTTCACATTAAAGGGGAGAAAAACAGGAAGAGGTAAAACACACAGGCTAATGTACACACTAAAAATCGACACAGTTGCAGCGACAAATGCTGGAAGAACTGGCACAAAAATAAAAACCAATCACTGAGTGTGCAATTCCAAATGTAGTATTATAATATCACTTAATCATATTTGATTGTGGAATGCATTGGAGTATTATAACTCCTGTTTATTTCCTTAAATTAATAATTTTCTCTTATGTGGCATGTGTGACTGTTTAAGATGTCGTATTACAGCTGCAGCTTCGACAGTATTCAGAGCAGTAAAGGATTATTTTTAAATCTTAAATGTAAAAAAAGAAGAGGAAGCCTTCAGTGCTTTGATTAGTGTCTGTTGTCTCCCCTCTTACGCTCAGCTCACTGACCTCTGTGATCAAGAGTTCCGATTGGTCAGTAGGTCCCAAACAATTTGTTCCAGAGCAGGTTAGGTGTTTAGCAGATGTTGCCATGGTGATCCACCCTGGTAAGAAGGCACGCTTCTTACCACATTCAAACACAGATTCAACACTGAAGTTACCTCAATGACCAAAAATCCTGCTTCGTAGTGCAGGCACCAGGTTTGACCTGCTGAGAAGGTCAATCAGTTCCTAATTCTGCATTTAACTCTCTGGACCTTGTGCTGTATCTCACACACAGAATGTAAATGTTCAGAGCTTGTACACACTCTCTTCGTGCTTCCCTTGACACACAACTCACTGCCTCACTGCATTTGTGTCATTCGAATGTGTTCTCATCAGGATTACTTGATGTTTGTAGGCACTCAGGGGCTTGCGGTGACCTACTGTTGCCATGGCGAGGAGGAAAACAAGATGATGGCCATCGCTCAGAAGTGTGGCCTGAGTTTGTCCGTGTTGCCCTGTGAGTATCATGCCGGATGTGCCCTTAAAAAAGCCTTTACAAATGTTACTATGCTTAACTTTTTCCTCTCACCTGTTTCTGTGTTTTTAGCCGTCTTAGAGCCCGGTTTGATGGATGAGCCTTGCGACTGGGACGTCTGCACCAAGGCTTCCACTCCAGGCGCTTTATCCCAGTTGTCCTCCAGGACAGAGAAGAAGAAGCGTGCCAAGGTGGTCACGAATCAAGAACAAGAGCACGGCATTCAAAGGAGGCCAGAGAAGACCAATCCTGCACCCAGGCTGGAAGCACTTGGTGAAGGGAATCCCAGAAAAGTATCTGCAGCGCCGACTCGAAAAGAGCTGCAAGACGCTCTACCAAAGATCCCTCCCCTCAGCTCATTCAAGACTTGCAAGTCGAGGTTTATGACCTTAGAGGAGGCCGAGCGGGACTTTGAGAACTTCATCACTAAGGGGTTGGGTAGATCAGTGGAGGTCATCAGGGATTTCAGAGGTCAAGAGGATGGCGGCGTAGACAATCAGAGCGGCCACAGAGAGTCTGTCATGCTTCACGATGACGAAGCTCAAAGTTTCAAGCCGAAGCGAACACAGAGAAAATCCAACTTGCAGTCGGATCCTGATGATGAGATCAAAAATGCCACAGAAGATGAAAAGAGCGCGCTATCAAAACGGCAAACGGATGCCAAGAAGACACCCCCTGCACTCAAACCCAAGGGTGAAGCAACAGAAACTGAAGTTTGTACATCCTCTGCACCAGAAGTGTACAACCAGACAACCTATGCACCAACCGGGAGAGCTTTTTCGCACTCCTCTGAGAACTATAAACATGTGGTGGCTGTTAAATCCAACAGGAGACCCAATCAGACACCTCCGTCAGGTAGTGGCGCAAACACGTCAAGAAAGATGGAGAAAAGGAGCAAACACATTGCGGGGGATTTGAACAGAGAGCGAAAGAGAGAAAGAGATGACGAAGAGCATGATGCTGATGAAGAAGTGGAAGAGAGTGCTGATGAATACTGGAGAACCTGCTACCGAGCCTGGAACGACTACTACTCCTCCATGTCTCCTTTTCAGGACCAAGGTTACACAAGCTACTACAGCATGGCACACAACTGGATGGCAGCTTATCGGATGAATGCCGTCTACGTGGAAGAACTCCTGAAGCACTGACTCATCTGTACTCTTGATGTACAATCACACTGTCTGAATTGTCTTTGAAAAAAAAATAAGAGTGAGCACTTCGGGTCTATTATGTTGCACTTGAATGAATTCCTACGATGTTCTGTTTATTTTCCTCCAACTAGTTTTCTAATAAAAGACCTATTTGGAACATCTGGAATGGTGCTATATACATTAATGTGCTTTATTGATACGTAATGTGAACATGTATTTTCTTCTTATTGTACTGTCAGTTTGTCTAACCCGTTGTTGAGAGACAAAGGTGAAGAGGAGGGAGCCAAACTGTGCAATTTACTTTACGCAACCTCTTCAGCAGGGTACAGCAAGGTCAGACAGCTCCCCAGTCTCCTGATTACAGACTAATCAAGCAGCTACGAGCGTTCACCCAATCAGTGCTGCTCCGCACAAAGGCAAACACACCCTTGAATAATTTAGTTTAAATACTAGGGGCCCAGATTAGCTCCCCCCCCCACACCCCCCAATATAACCATTTATAGCTCATAACTCTTCAAAGTAGAATCACCATGGTGCGGGTTTTATCCTCAGCTGCTGCGTTCTGCTGTGGACGAACATCTGGAGATGATTTGTGCTGCACGATAAACCAAGAGGTGAAATCATGGACGCACACACTCCATTGAATGCAACAACATCGAGCTATGAAACTATGGTGGACACCGTGTTCTTCATCTTCAACTGCACAGTCTTGACGCTGACACTAGTCTTAGGGTTACCAGGGAACTTGTGGGTTTGTTGGGTTGTTTTCAGGACGAAGAGCCTGCAGACGTGCAACAACGCACTGCTGGTCAGCTTGGCCGCCAGCGACCTGCTGAAGTGCTCCGTGGACACCCCGCTGCTGCTCTTCTCTTTCCTGCGATTCGGGAAGGACAGCCAGGTGTCCGTGTCTGTGTGCACCCTGCAGCAGTTCACTTACGCGCTGTGCAGCTGCGTCCAGCTGCTCACGCTGGTCAGCATCAGCGTGGAGCGCTTCCAAGCCATCGCGTTTCCTTTCCAAACAGAAGGGAGGAGAGCGAGGATCCGCGTGTGGATCCTGTCCATCTGGGCATGCGGCCTTATCCTTGCTATCGTCTCTTTGACTCTGTGCAAAAAAGCGCTTTTTTACATGCTGTGCCGTCCACACGTTTCCGTTCACTGGGACGAGCGTCTTCAATACAGGGACCCATTTGGACCATATGTCCTAGTTCCAGTTTGGGTTCTATCGCTGACTGTGATCGTTATCCACTACGTGCGGATATTAAAAGTTGTAAGGAAGCATCGAAAGAAAGTTTTTAGCCGTGGAGTCCAGCTGAGGCCCACTGTGTCCAAGCACGCGTGGGGCTGGCTGAGTATCCCGGCTTCAGCACCGCGGACAGCTCCGCTCGCCTCCCTCAAGTCCCTGGCCGCGGTGGGCTCCGGCTCCCGGATGCCTCCCCGGCGGACCGTGCTCTTGGTGTCAGAAGCCAGCGGTCCCTGTGCGGGCTCGTCCACGGGGGTTGCCCCAGAGAGACATCCGGACATTGTGGGTGCAGTGTGTCTCCTCAAACCAGGAGCCAAGGAGCGAGGGAAGAAACAGATGGAAGGGAAACTGGCAAAACGTTTCGGGTACATAATCATTGCGTTCACGCTTTTCTGGGTGCCAATGGTGGTTGTTTTGCTGATGAACGTCATTTCGTGGCAGGACAAGGACAAAGTGAGTTGCACGTTTTTCCCCCTCAACTACTATTGCAGCGCAGGCATGAAACAACTGAGGCTGAAGGACAGAAGACAAGTAAAAAGTTCGATCAGATATCTCAGCAATAAATTCTCTCAATTTGCAAGTTTCAAAACCCCGTTTGAATCAAACGTAGACAGACCAGAAACATTCGTCAAAACAATAAAATTTGAAATACCAGCCTGAAAATGTTTCAATTGCAACGAAAGTGAACATAAAAAACTATCAAGAAAAAGTCAACATTCTAACCGGTATAATTTTACAAGTAGAAGTAGTAGATCAAGTTAAATGATCAATAATTATCAATTATGACAAAACAAATATCCCCTTGGCTTCTTGGTAGTTATGATGGGTCAGTCTTAACAATTTACTGAGGCTACTCTTTAAAACTCAATGATTGACAGATCAAACTATTTAATAAACAGATCACAATTCATTCAAATTAATAAAGATCATGGTAGGTAGTGTCGATGTCCTGCAGAAGCACTTAGGACTGGTATTCTCTGTAATAGCATTTTATTTATCTCTCCTGTTTTACCACAGTTGCTGATGGAGCTGGAGACTTCAGCGATGGTGCTGACCTGCATGCAGGCTGCTGTGGATCCACTCATCTACACCTTAGTCACTAAACAGTTCCGCTCTGAACTCAGCAAGATCTTCTCCTCCATCCCAGGGTGTCCCTTAAAATTGAGGACGTGAAGATTCCCTGCTTAAACATTTGGGTCACACAGGCGCCACTTTGGAGAATCGAAAATATCACTGAGTCTATAAATATATATAAACTGCACATACAGAGTGATTTAGAGGCAGCTGAAGAAGAGAGCCCACAGATTATGTATTTGTGGCAGATATAGATGTTTTATCAGGCGTTTCACAGTCGGGACACAAGACAAGGTCATAAATAATATCCAACACCTGACAAAATACACACAGCAGTAGTCTCAACAACGACAGGTGGCATAGAAGGGCAAAGCAAAGAGTGAGAGGAAAACTGATTGAGCCCAGAAAAGACAATAAAAGGAGAGAGTACATAACAGAGAAAAAGAGACCAACACAATCACAAACCTCTGCTTTTGTTTGTAAATCAAATGCCATCCTATGATACTTTGAATGAATATTTGTGACAATAATTCACACTGTGTCATTTCAAAGTGCAGCGGACACAAAAAAAACTGTCTTTAAACAGAGAAACAATAAATAAAAAAATACAATGTTTTCATCCTGAAAACAAATGATACAGGGAACCTCACCTCTGCCAATACCTACTTCAAGCTTTTGTTGTACTTTCAAAGAATTGTAAATGTTGGACTTGATGCTGTGAATATGAAGTCAATGTCTTCAACCTGAACTTCTCTTTCAAATTACACTGAGACGCTTGCCTGTACTTGTCTTTTATTTGTTTGACTCTGGGTAAATTTGCGCACAGCTTGAATAAACACTAAAAGTGGATCTAGGCAGCTGTAGTCACTGTGTACAGTACTAAATGACCAGAAATAGAACTAGGTCACTGCTAGGACTATCAGAGGTTGGAAGAATAGTTCAGTCATTCTGTGAGTCAAGACTAACCTCTGGATCCGAGGGGAACAAAAGCACAACAGGAGGTTCTAAGGGACCTTAGTACCATGAAGTGATGCACTGATATGGTACAAATTTGGCTGAGTATATTTCCACCCAATGACATGGTGAGGACATTTTTTTTGTAAGTTTTAGTACAAATGCATGTGTAAAACTGGTAAGCTTTTTCCATGTCACAATCTCAATTGAGTGAAATACTTTTTTTCTTTAAAAAAAAAACATGATACATTTTGCTGCTAATTTGCTTTAAATACAATCTAATTATACTGAAAACAAACCTTTGTAACATCAGCTACATATGCGCAGACATAATATTAGACCGATTCCAGTATTGCTTTTGAAATATGCTCCTGGCTGATATGGAGAGTATGCTTAAAGATGGGCGCAGCCCTGTCTGTGTGCTCTTGGTCAACATTTGACTTCATCTACGCAGAGCAGAAGTAAGTGCTTAGCTTAGTGTAACTTAGCTCATCCTCCTACAGACATATCTAATTGTCTGCGTAGCTGCTGGATGACGTTCAAGAAGAAGGCGGCCAACAGAGAGGCATCAGCTGGGAGGTCAGCATTCATATTAGAAAGGTCAGCTGTGAAAGGATTTGATGATAAGTGGTACAAACGTTACATGTTAGGACTATGGGTCGAGAGAACAGATCCAATAACATGTTTATAGTGACAGGGATCCGTGGACGACTTATCCGATGTGTTCTCTGGTGTCACTGTTACAACAGACTTCCATTTTTTAAGTTCTCCCGAAGTTAAGTAAATAAAATAATTTAAAACACCAAGGAGGACAAAAAGTACAAACATCGAGTTTCCTAACCACATAGAGTACACACACCCAACAAATTTGGAAAAATGCCTGCTGAGTTCAAGGGAAGAAAGAACATTGACAGCTATAAAGACTACTGAAAGCATACTGTTGTTCACACAGGAGGTAGGGGTACAACAGGACAACAACAAGAGAGAGAGAACGAGAAGACAGCTTCACTAGTTCTGCCAAACGATGGTCAAATATTACAAAATATTCTATTAACAATATTCACAAAGAACCCGGGCTCAGAACAAATTTGTGTCAGAAATTCGCAGCATGTGCCTTGTGCTTTTAACTGTGGTGGTTTGAATTGAAAATGTTCGTTTTTTGTTCTTTGAGAAAGAATTTAGTTATTTGAGGTCTGTCAGGGCTGCAGCAGCCAAAAGAGAAAACGACGAGGAAAGGGGGAAATTAAGAAAACCATGAAACAAAGTCATCTTCAATACTCCATGAAATCAGGCACATATTGTGTAAAAGGCTTTGGAGCTGAGAATTTCAGACAGAAATGTGTTCGATGAGCCCTTCAGAGTGGCAGCTAGTCAAATATACCATATACTGAGCCATAGAGACTTCCAGAAGAAGTGGACACACACAGGCACACACACACACACACGCACACACAGGCACACACACGCAGGCACACACACACACACACACACACACACACACACACACACACAGGCACACACACGCAGGCACACACACGCAGGCACACACACACACACACACACACACACACACACACACACACACACACAGGCACACACAGACACACACACACACAGGCACACACAGACACACACACACACAGGCACATACCTCCTATCCAATACATTACATTTCCTCTATCTAGCAAAAATTCACAGAAACATGTGAAACTCATTAGTAACGTCCTCGCAGACACACCAATCAGAATACATCTCTTAAAGAGTTTTTCACTCAAGTGGAGTATTATTCGACCTGGAGAAAATGGTGGATTATTACTGTAATCTATCAACAGGTTAGTGGACCGAAATAACAAAACAAAAGAACAGGATAAAATGATGTGTGGAAAAAAAGCTTCAATAATGTTTTGTTATTTGAGTTGTCTTATGTTTTCCTTATGTTTGCTGCTAAAAAGAGTCAAACCAAAGCAAAAAAAATCATAAAAAAGGTGCTTTGTGCACAGTAACACAAGACTTACTCTGGGAGGAGTCTCATGCCTCCTCATCTAAAATCACTCTCTACACATGTTCACAGCTCTTTCATCCACACACACACACATACATCCGCGCACACAAGTATGCCAAACACCCACTAACAGGGACATACTGTATCTAAAAGCCATCCTCAGTCTGTAAATGGAGTTCATGTCATTACAGTACATGACCAGCAGAGGGCAGGCTCCACCACGGCAACAGTAGAACTCTAAATGCTTTCATTTCCATCATTCCCAGTCCTCCTTTGTCCCCACTCTGTCTCCATGAGTCTTTATATGTTTTTCCACTACCCAAGTCTTCACAGTGCGGACACCTTCACAACATTCTGGTGGGTGGGGCCTGCGGGCAGGTGAGCATCGCCCTCAGGAGTGGTCACTGGGGGTGTGGGAATGCTGATGATTGCTGTGGTGATTTGGCTGCTCTGGCAGTTCAGGGGGGCTTGCTCATCTACTCGCATGTTCAGACTGGAGCGGCTTTAAGAAAGAAAAGAGGGAAAGAAAATCAAGGCTTAGAATTGGTTGTCTTTATAGATACAGTTTGCTTACAGGTCACATATTATGCAAAATAAGCTTGACCATGTTTTTAGAACACTAATATGTGTACCTAGTCTGTCTACAAACCCCACCAATTAAGAAAAGCCCACCCTCTCATCTTTAGCCTGCTCCACTTTTCAGAAAATGTGTGCTCAAGCAGGCTGTTTAGAGATTTTCCCTTCCTGACATCACAAAGGGCAGTAACCCCTCCCCCAAGGTGGATGACAATCCAACAGCTAGGTGCTTTTTCTGCCCTCTGAGTCTGCCTTTCCACCGTTACAAAAGGGCATGGTGCAAGAAAGCCCGAGCCACACTCCCTCCAGAGGGGGGCGTGGTGGAACACAGCTCTCCTGCATTTAAAGCTATAGACACAGAAACAGCCTGTTCTGAGCAGACACGAAATAGAAGGGATTTTAGGCGAGAAACTTCAGTCAAGTTTTGGGAAGTTTTTAGACTAATTTAAACTTGTTGAAAAGTTATCCAAGGTGGGTAAGTGTTTGTAGATTACTGGTTCAAGTTCTGGTTGAGAAAAGTGTGTGTGTGTTTGGGGGGGGGTCCTCTGTCTTTTGACTACTACAATTTGAGGTCAAGGTAGGTAGGTGTTTTTGTCTTTGAATGATCCTTAAGCAAAGCAGATTTTTCTTCCTAACCCTTTACAAACTGAACAAAGGATCTCCAAACCCCATGTGTAGTTGTTAACATTTTGATAGATGTGCTTTTAGCATCAAATCAAACTATGGTACTTTGTTTTAGCAAACAAGCTTTGAAGCAATAGAGCCAAAGTAAACTATAGTTCGCTTTCAATGAAGCTCAAAGTCCATTAACAGCCAGGAAGGAATGACGGGCACCTGTTGTGGATGATGCAAGGCTAAAGGTAGAGGAATAATCAGCTTTTATTTGTCAGATGGCTAGAAAAAGAATCACATTGAGATGTTGCTCACTATCATTGGGGCATTCAGGAAGGCGGATCTTTGCAATAATTTGACAAATACAACAGTCAACTGAATGTCATTGTTTTTGGCATTTAATTAAAAAAAGAAAGTGTATAAAGCTGAAGCCAATTTGAAAAGGCAATGTCACAATTTTCTGACATTTTTTTTGTACGGATCGATGTATTAATTCAGTGAGAAAACTAAAGTGGTCTACTATGTTATGATCAGTCAGTCATTGTGAGCAACAGGTAGAGATAAACAGACGATTAGAAGTATTTATAGAAAACTTGTGGGTGGACAATCTGAAAGTAAACAAGAAACTCATCAGCAATTGTTTTGAAGTTCACGACAGCTAATTTTGCTGAGCAAGTAATGTAAACAAATCTTTTCAAACTTGACTTCATAGCAGACAGACTTGACAGTTTTTCTTCCCCTGTCATTACAATGATTGTTCTCACCTGGTGCTGAGGGACTGGATGTGGATCGTGCTGAGCTCCTGCAAACCTTGTTGATGTGTGTGTGTTTGTTTCAAAGGCTGCATTTGTGCAGGAGCGCTGGCGTTCGCTAAAGGGGAGTGAAGCTTCTTGCTTCGGCGGGTGCAGCAGGTGCCCGTCACGCCTTCCTGGCTGGAGAGTGAGGGGCTTCGAGACGGGTAATTCTGCAGTCCTGAATCCAGGTAGCTCTGCTGGTAATACTGCTCGTCCACAAACTCGTGGTTCTAAAAATAAAGACAAAGACAGCGAGGGAGTCATAAAAAAGAATGGACATTTACAGCATTTAGATTTATGGCCATGTACTCTACTTGGCTTGATATACCCCTGAGAGTTTCTGCTTTAGAGCCTGGGTCAGTAACTCCTCTGACAATGTGCTTTTTTTCTCCTACGTGTGCAGATATTGAAAAGACTCTTACATTTTCAAAACCGTTTAAGATTCTAAAAATATTTTAGTGGTAGAGCACTCTCATTGGTATTCAAGAAGGCTCAGTCAAGACTCTTCTTCTTAATGACGCTTAGCAAGAACCTTCTCCATGTTTTTTTTAGCAGGGAATCTTGGCTAGTGTCCTCTTTGATGCTGTGCTGGTGGGGGTGGGGAGGGGGGGGGGGGGGGGGTAGCATCTGTGTGGATGATACAAATGGGATGAATAAGCTGATCAAAAAGGCTGGCTCTGTGATTGGCTCAATCCCGAGGACCAAACTAAAAACAGTTCTGATCTTTGAAGGCACAGTGTTTTAATGGACTGAGAATCTCCTTCAGTGAGCAACTACTAATGCCTTAGTGTTCTAGTGAATTACTTAGAACAGTGCCTCCCTAAGTGTGGGCCGCGCCCCCCTGGTGGGCCGTGTGGGTAATGCAGGTGGACCGCGAAAAGCCCTCCTCCAATTTTAAAAATAAAAGAAATATCACAATAATGATGATTTACCATGAGTGAACCCTTTAGCTGATTAGTAAGGCATGTCATGACTATTCATGGACATAATATCACATAATATTTTACTATCTGTTTAGTAAACTTTCGTGTCTATCTTGCCATAATATATTGTCAAGTCCAATAATTTCCCCTTACTGAAAGTGATAGTTGTAGTCATAACTTTTATTTTAGAACGGGCCCTGGAGTCATTTTGTATTTCAAAGCGGGCCACGGCAGTCTTGAGTTTTGGAAAAGCTGACTTAGAAGGTCCTTTGTTCCAGAAGCAGTCAGATATTTTACAGTTTTAGTAGTGGCTCTGATTCATGGCTGTAAATGATGTCTCAAATTGTTATTTATTTGCTTGTTGTGTATTGTAATCATACTGTCTATGTTGTTTGTTGTGTGTATGACTTGACCAGGTGGCAAATGATTTTAAAGTAGGATTAATAAAGTTTTCTAGTTCTAATTCTATTTCCTCTTGTAAGCATTTTCTCAAACAGCACAGAGCTGTTTTGAGCTAAAAAGCTCCAAAACCTCACTGCTCATTTACCTGCCTGTCTCAAAAAGCAGACAGGTAAAGCTGGCTTGTAATCATGAAGAGGACTTAGCAAATTAAGAGACAGATAACTTCCATCTGGTGCCGTGCAGAAGAAAAAAAGAGCTAAATGAAAGAGTAAGTATCAAACTTGGAGAAAAAGTGGAAAAAGACAAGACTGCAATAAATGAATGTAGCTCCTCTGATGGAAGTGTGAAAAGAAAAATACTTACCGGTACCTAGTCAACTTCAAAGGTGACAACCATGACAATGTTGCTTTCAAAGCTTGTTTCAGCTGCCCTTTCACTCTGAACTTTTTATTCATGCTGACATTCATGTGGTTCATTGTTAGGATTATACAAGGTAAAACATGACAGTTTGTGTGTGTATGTGTGTGCAGCAGTGCATAAAAGTTTATTTCATTTGCCAAGCTCTGAGGTGTGAGAGGCTGAAACAGACAGTGTTACTGAATTACAGACAGGAAAACAAGCGTGTATCATGAGAGAGATTCAGCGTACCGGAATACATGCTACCTACAGTTTGATCATACACACAACACACTGCTGAAGTAAACACATAATGCCTGGCTGATTGTGATTTAACGTAGAGCTCGAGCTAAAAGAAATGCATGAATGATTTGACAATTTACGATACGATACACTTTATTGTCTCCTCAGGGAAATTTGTCTTGGATTCAAAGTGTCCAAGGTTTATCATGTTTTTAAGTTCATATTTTAAAATCTGTAAAATGTAACCTTACATTTTGTGTGAATCTGAAAAAAAAAAACCCTAATATTTTGAACATAGTTTGTATTTATTATAATACACATTATTATTTTAAATAAACATAAGGTTTAATGTGTGTGTGTTTGTGTGCACTCACAGTGGTTTTCTCCAGACAGTGCAGCAGGTGGTGGTGCTGGCTCTCTAATAGAGAGGTAGACTTGCTCAACCGCTGCTCCTCCTCCATGGAACTCTGTAACACACACACACACACACACACACACACACACACACAAACACATTCAAATGCAAAAAAAGAAAAGAATGATATGCTACATCTTGTAGTAAGTATCTGATCAGGTGTTGAAGGTGGGCGGCCTGTTGCTACTAAGTACCTGATCACAAAGGTTCATCTTGTATGGGAGTTGCTTAAAGTGGAGAAGGAGACAAAAGGAGAACAGACAGGTAGAGTTTTACTGGTGTTGATGTTTCAGCACTGAGGACAGACACCTGTCAGGTTGCACACACAGAGGACTTCACCACGCAGACCCTGAGTGGCTTTTCTATTAACATCAGAGGAGCCAGGGCATTGATCCGGGCTGGAGAGGATACTAGAAGTACAACTCTCTCCTAATAGATACAGTGTATACAACTCATAGAATATTCCATCCTGACATTTTGCCTCCTCCTCTGTCAATGTAAAAGCTAGCTCTAGGCGACCCCTTAAAGTTGTTTTCCTTATTCTTTATTTAGCCTGTAGCCTGATTATTTGAGTGTGTGTCTGTGTGTAAAAATGTGCAAGCTTATTTTATTTATTTATTTATTTTTCGGCTCAGAGTAGGTTTGGGTGCGGAGCTCATTTCTGTGTTGCAGTGAGGTGAGTCAGGAAAAAAAGGGAACTGTTTGTGAGCATGGTGGATCCTTTAGGGAAGAAAAAAGAAAACCAGGGGAAAAAAGTCATTTTCTGCTTCTGTTTGTCATCACATATTGTATGTTGGGATTGTTATATTAGTGCAATAAATCACTTTAGGAAGCTACAGTAAACCTTCATAGAATCTCTCCAGAAATAAAACTCTTAATAAAATAGTTTAAGGCTTTAAACAGTTTCTTAGGCAAACCTTTATGAACACTGTTTCTTGGGACATATTTGGAAAGGGGAGACATTTAGTGAATATTAGTAATATGAAAAACCTTAAATACCTACAGTACATCCAAGTGAGGGAAGAGTAGAAAACACAGACAATAAAGATTTGGCTGGATAACTGACATACATATTGGTCACAATAGTTTTATAATGAGCCTGGGAAGATGTCAGTTCAGTGAATCGCAGAATGCCACTGTGGTCCTGTCATAAAGAAGGCAGTGATTCACAAATACAGACTTTCAATGTGTTACATCAGTCTTTCCCTGCTCAATGTGTGGTTGTGCTGTTGATAAAAAAAAAAAAAAGGCAAAGAAATACTGCCCTGATCCTGCATGCTCCACAGCACCGCCGACAGGCAAGTAAAATGCCATGTTTGGAAGATTTGTAGCAGCAATTTTCTGTTGGTTAAGCGGGGCGGCTGGTGCTCTAAGCAGAAGCGTCTTTGCTGAGCGGGTACATTCCCACTCTGATGACTCGGTTTGTTCTAGCCAAGAGCGCTCACCTGTGTTCATGCTGCTTATCTGTACCTAACACAGCAGTAAAACACAGATGTTTAGGTGGGGTTATTTCCGTCTTCCTCTATAGAAGTGCAAGTTCATACCAGAAGTCTGTCTGGAGGCAGCGGTGGCTCAGCAACCTGGTGGCCACCATACTGTACAGACTGAAACGGCTTTATCTGCTGTGTCACTCTGCATGGTGCACTGCATGTTGTTTGTAAATAGCTTCATTCCCAGTAAATCTTAGCTTAATGACAATTCACATTTAGCAGTCATAGATCTTTAAATAAACTGTTAAAGGATGACTTTAGAAATAAGCAACCAGCGTGAATGATTATATTTCACTGTGACTTAAAACTACACAAAAAGAGAAGTAAGAATATCACTCATAATATTCATAATTAACACTGTGACTCTTCATTACATAACTTTTTTGTTGTTGCCAAAATTCATTTTTTTTGCTCATAAATGTGTGATTCTTCAGTGTGATATTGCTGATAAGTTCATATGTTGCTCTATGAAGTTTCCAAATGGCAACATTATTTTTTATTAAGCAAAAAAGCAGGCCATGGCGGCAGTATACACTCCACAATGAACTGAGTCTAAACTGTAACCACATCTTTATAGGGATGGAGTACTAGAAGTGTCCGTAATAAAACACACAGTAAAAGAATCGTCCTTGTTTAAAACTTTTTGCAAACTTTGCAACTCCTACAATTGTCAGCAGTCTCTCTAAACAGCTGTTCTTAACCACATTATCTCAACACGTATTCTCTGATCTTGAGAAATATCTAATAAAGCAGTTTTCAGCTTCAGTTAAACTTTACTCCCAACCCTTTGCTGAATTCTGTATATATGAACAACACAGCAGCCTTTGCAAAATATTGTCTCTTAAGGCGATATCAATATAAATTCAATGCATTATTCAGCCCCAGCTTTCATATAAACACTGGTGATGCATAGATTCTTGCCTCAACATTACAATAGTAGAGAGAGGAGAGAGAGAGAGAGAGAGCGAGAGAGAGAAGAAGAGGCACTTGTTTTTGTTTTCGTGCGGTGTCAGCCCCAGGGGCCACCATAGTGCTTGTAAACCGCAACATTTTGGTGAGACAGAAACATCCTTGAGTTGTGTTTACATTTCCTGCTGCATCGCCTGAGGCCTGTTCCTCAGCTGGGCAGCTGGGCTCAGAGAAAGTCACATTAGATGTGCAGCTTATTGAATGAGATCACAGTGAGCGGCTCTGATGGGATGCTGGGTGGATTCTAAGAAACGATAATTATAAGGAAAGTTAAAAAAATGCCTGCATCCAATTTCATCAATAGTTATCTAGTCTGATGTGTTTTTTTCCCCAAGGACATGCAGAGGTCAGGTGAGGTTAGATACAAAAATATAAAAGAATGTAAATACATCTTGTGAAGGTGGGTTTCTTGGTGGTAATAAGGGCGGTCTTACCGTGAACTCCAGCGCTTCATTGAACAGCCCGTTTCTCTTGCTGTGGAGAAAGGCGTTGGAGCTTCCCGCCTTTGATAGTCGTATCCTGGCCAAACGGGCTTTCTGCAATGAGCAAGACAACCACAAAAACCACCTGTTAGTCTGTGACTACACCTCCTCCTATGTCAGAATGATTGGGTATCATCCTGACACATCCCATCGCTTTGAGCTACAGCACTTTCACATGCTTGATGTCTCACTTGTGATCTTATAGATCAAATCAAACATGTGCTACTAAAGCATTCACTCTGATCTCCCGTGATAAATTCACTCTGATCTCCTTTGATACTTATAAAAGATTTATGGGCGACTCGTACTGAAACATTCCCTGGGTTGAAATCAGTAACAGAGGCTGTTATGAGTAGAGCAGGTATGAATTAATCCTGTATGCATAAAGCAGCCAAGTGTCACTTTAAATACTTGATTCAGTTTATTTGGGCTGTTATTGTGCTGCTATGTTAGCAGATTTTGTTTAGCATAATAAATGAAGGAAGTGTCCCGGCCCAATATGCTCTACATGGGTTAGTGTCGGCGTAATATATCAAACAAAAAAAGTGCAGTTTGCCAGAAGTCCAGTCACTTTCCCGCTCTCCTTCTCCCTCACAACTGAACAAAGGAAGACAAGAAACACTCCTCCTTGGAGTCAATGCTTTAAACCCCAGTAAGCTTTGAGACTAACTCAACACTCCAGTTTTCTGCTCTACCTGAAGCACACTTCTGCGTCTTCTGAATGAGTGCGAAAACGATCCGTGTATGCACAGGCCCGTGGGGAAAAAGTGGGTCTCAATAAATCTCTCAATTACAAGAACTGCTCTTACAGGATAGTGTAATCTGAGTCATTCACTTCTCAAAGGCCCACCATTTTCCTGTCAAAGTCAAGAGTGGGGTGTCAGACGAGGCGCAGCTACAAAGTGTGTGTGTGTGTTTCTGTTGCTTTGCTTTCTGAATTTCAAAAATAGAACGATGGATTGATTGAAGGGAAATTGGCGGAAGGATAATGCGAGCTGTGTAAATGAAGAGCAGACACAAAGCTTGTCTGGTAACAGGAGCCACATGCTCAGCTGGGGGGGGGTTAATTGAGTGTGTGGATGTGTGTTTGCATATCTCCATGTGCACACTCCTCGCCTCCAAAGCTGAATTTCAATTTATATACATGCCAGCCGTATATGGGAGTCGCAGAAATACCTGGTGCAGTTAAAAAATGATAATGTATGCTGATTCGAGCTCATCCCCTCACTAGAGTTTCATTTGAAACATGCTAATGTTTGTTGACCTGCAGGTAGATCATGCTGTGATTTAGTAATCTAAAAAGAAGCAGGGGAGATAAACAGGAGTGCATGTTAACATAAACATGCACAGTTGCCCATCTATACTGCAGCATCCCATCTCCCTTCTATTTTTTCCCCCCAACCTCTTTCTGTTCCCCTGAAACGTGATCTTTTTTTGTCTCTCTCACCTTCTCTCGTGCTCTCCTTGATAAGTTTTCCTCGCTGTCTCTGTACCCTCACACTCTAACACCTATGTACATTTTGTGCCCGCTCAGCATTCCTGCAGACCTTTGGGATAACCCGTCTTTGTGTTCTGGCACCGCGCTCAGCCAATGGGAGCCTCTCTGGCTTTGGTGATGGTTGCCAGGCAGCGCAGGGGTAATGGAGGGGATGTTAAGAACACGTCCTGGGAGATTGGATCTACTTCTGCAGTTCTCTGATAGATTCCCAGGGCCTTTGGGACCCGGGTGCTTGTGTCTGAGGCCCATCTGTGCTTTCAGGCAGAGCCATGGTACGACAGATTGAGCCTGAATTGCTGCTGAAGCATCATTCAGAGCGCACGGTAGTGAAGGGAAGTCATGGACACAGAGCTTTCATTAACACCTACATAGAACACCATGGGGAGGGTTACATAGCCAACAAGTGTAACTGCTGCACATTCCTTCAACACAACCCTAACAATCACTGTTTCAGTACTGGAACAGTGATTTCAGTGCTGGAACAGTATTTCTACTCACATAGAAAGTATGTAAGTATGTTGGCCCCATATAGATGCTACTTGATTATTAAAATGTAACCATGCACTGTGTATAAGACGTGGACGTAGCAACCCTGACTCCACCCGCTGGTTTGTGTGCTGCGGTTTTTAAAACTCAACTTTTGCTCATATAGCCATCTCGTCCTTGTTTCCTTTTTTTCTTTTTTTAAACCAGACGTGACCATTATAGGCATAAAGATGGAAGAGTATTGCTATCTTGGATAATGGAAAGTTGATGTAACATGTCAATTCCACCTAAAAGCGTACCCTTTTTTTATTACTTTCCTCTAAATGGGACCATAATTTATCATAAGTGAACACAATGCTGTATGAAAGAAGACTTTAAACTCATAATTTAGACCTTAAAGTCATGTGGAAAAAGTTAATTGAAGTAATCGTCTAAGGAAGTAGGTTTTATAACTTTAAGTAAAGTTAATCTCATTACCTCATCTAAATAGTCTCAGCTGATTTTGGCATGTTGACATGCTGTTTAACTTGCTGCAGCTGACCACATAATGAGCTCTTTCACCTTCAAACTAATGTTGTGTGCGCACCTCCATTGTAATTGTTTGTTTGCTCTTTCATTCAGCAAGCTAGAAGTGTGTCCGTGTTAGCTTGTTAGATAAGCAGGAGAAGCAGGAGAGCTAATTAAGGTTGTTGTTTTAAGTCTGTTACCTCAGTGTTGTGGAGCAGGCTGTTGTTTAGCTGTTAATCAGTGTCACTGTCTGCCCATCATAAAACACTGATAATACTGCTTAATGCAAGTATGATATCAAATAAAGACATTTGATTGGCTGTTGGGGGGGAAAGCTTTCAATTTACCTAAAGAAGAGAAAATCGATATTGAGCCAAATGTATAGAAAAAAGATGGCATCCCGGTAAAAGAACATAAATCATTCAAATAAATGCACTGAAGTGCTATTTAAAGAATAGAAAAAAGTGAACGAAATCTCAGCTGGACTTTGAAAAAACAGAAGCTTTCAAAAATGCTAAACTCTGTTTGACCTGTCAACCAATCAGACATGTGGCGCTTCAAATCACTGGTTGAAATAATCCAGATGGGGTCGCTGAGTTAGCTCAGGTGGTACAGCAGGCCAGACTACAGTCCTCATTGCAGTGGTATCAGGTTCGACTCCCAGCCCTGACGCTATTTAGTACATGTCACCCCCCACTTGCTTCAGCCATAGTTCCTGTCTATATCCATATGTCTATAGTTCCTGTCTATATCCATATGCTGTTCTACATTGTTTCCTTTGAAGCTTTCACCAAGTCACTACTGATGACGATTCACTATTAAAATATTACAGTTATAAGATGTAAGCCAGCACACACACAGATACTTCATTTTAACATGATTTGCTGCCAGCTGCAGGATCTGAGCTGGCATATTCACAGCTGATCAAAACACACCACGTATCCACACAGCTCCCATGTCCATGCTCTGCAGAGCATTGCCAGGAAGTTTTCTCCAAGTTCTTTTTTTTTTTTTTGAAAGTAAAAGTTGAAAAAAAAAAAAAAAAAAGTCATGCCGTTTTGTGAGTTGCAGCTTTGTCAACTGCCTATATAGGATTTGGCTGAGTGAAAAGTGGAGCAATCGAGCTATGAGACCAGATTAGGTTCTGCCTCAGGCTTGCCTTGGAACCAGACAAGTGAAAGAGGAGACCATCTGACAATCACACACACGCACGCACGCACACACGCACGCACACACACACACAGCTGTGGAAAAAGAGCCTCTTCTTGTTTTGCAGCTGCCACTGTCACTCACATAAAGAGTTTTTTTTTATACATGCTGACATTTCTGCAACAAGGAAATATGCGTCGAACTTCCTCTGAGGTACGTTGCTTTAAGTTAACACACCACACATAAATGGAGAGAGAGAGAGAGAGAGAGACAGAGAGTCACGAACATAAACAAGAGGATGGCCAGAGAGAATGGCGGGGAAAATAAGAAGCAATTTTGGAAAGACTGGCTCTTAGAAAATCCACCTTGGTTGGATTTTGTGAAGTCAGGAAACTCAATAATTGATTCTGTCAAAATCAACTCCTCAGACTCCTCCGGTCCATGGATATCTGTCTCAGTAGCAGACAGCTTAACCTGGGACTAACACCACTCAGAGAAAAAATACCTTTGCTAAGCCTGGATTAGCTCCTCTTTATAGAGACAAGACCACCTCAGCTTGCAAGATGCTCTAACGCAGGTGTTCAGGTTTTTATTTTATGAAGGACATCATTCATAGCAGAACTCTTGACCCCCCCCCCCTCCCCCAGTGAAGTCCCCAGTCAACATCTCTTCATTTCTTTTGTTGGTCTGCCTTTTTGAGAAGTGCAGACGACTTTATTGATTGGCTAGAAGGGCAAAACACTCTCAGCCAGAAGACTTCTCCACCTTTAGACTTCAACCTTCTGAGGGACGGATAAAAACAATAGTGAGATGATTTAGAGCAAAGGGTGAGACTGAGAGGGAGGGAGGGAGGAGACATTTTTCATGGTTTTGTTTCTTGTAAAGTGAGACAAGCAAATGTAATGCTCATGAACGACAACGGTCAGTAATTAAGTATTCAATTAGTTTGAAGACAACAACTGGCCCAAATTAGATACATTTCAAGTAAAAGTGGGGAAATGTAAGGTGAGTTAAAAAAGAAAATATCCCTAAAAAAATCATCGTTAAGCCATGTTACAAAACAGTTACCCATGACTGTTGCTTTATGGGGCGTACTTAGGGGTTGATTTCAGAGTTCTGTGATTTAGAAATGGAGCAAAACAGTCATTGAAGTAATTAAAGATTTTCTGAATTTACCACAAAATGTTTTCTCCTGTTTTTTACTGTTCACAAGCCTCTTACCCACTCAACCCTCTGACTTTTGGTCAGACAACCCAAGTTTGAAATGTTGATTGCAGAACAGAACTTTGTTACGAGTTTGGTTTGTAGGCTGCTACCTCATGACTCCTCACAAATGTGTTTTTCATGCAGAGATTTGAGGGTTCATGAGGTAATACCTAAGCCAGAGGTTACAGGCGGATGCAGGGGAGCTGTT